AATCTTTTCAAATTAACTATAAATATCCAACAAAATGTTCTAACATCACCAATTCTTTGAGTGTGTTTGGTTAGAAACTTCACAAAATATGTATATTCCCTGTTTGGGTGGAAACAGAAAACTGTAGAATCCACTCATGCACCATCACAAGGACCAAAGCAAAGACATTCATGCCAATACCAACACTACCAAAGTCTTTAGAAAAGACAGGAGGTGTTCAGTTCTTGAAGCCACAAAATTGGAAGGCTGAGTTATTGACACATGAAATTGGCCATACACACGCATATTCATATCACATATAAAGAGAATGCTAAGAACATCTTTTAAAATTCTCTCAATTTTCTCTGCTTGACAATATACATGATGAAATGTTTGGATGAAAGAGCAAATAAGCCAAAATATGCATGAGATAGAAGATAAACCCATGTGGAGAGGCAGGGTTCCCAGGGAGTTGAAATACACCACAACTTCACTTATTTAACAAGATATACCTATTAAACAGAAAGAGATGGGTGGGGAGAGAAAGAGAGAGAGAGAGAGAGAGAGAGAGAGAGAGAGAGAGAGAGAGAGGAACTGAGGGAGAGAGAAAGAGAAAAATTTCTGTGCTTTGTTCTGCAATCATTCTGGAAGTTTCTTTTGTTTTTGTAATTCTGAGGCTGCCTGTGCATTTTGGAATTGGTCACATGAAGAACGATGTTGGTATCAGAGAAGGAGCTATCCACTTGAGAGCAAATACACAGAGATATAAGACAGAATCAGTTGAATAAAAATCCTGAGTACCTGAATTTATAAGATGAGCTCATTAAATTCCATTTTAAAACACACACACAATGTCAAGTTCCTTTTCCTGGTCTTAATTCTGTTCTACAGTTATATAAAATATCACCATTACAAGAAATTTCCTGAGGGAACAAAGGAAACTTCCTGCCACTTCTTGTAAGTTATTGTTTCAGAAAAAGCCTGAACTTTAAAACATTGACATAGGGCTGGGGCTGGAGTTCAGTGGCTGAGCCCTTGCCTGGCATGTGAGAGGCACTGAGTTCGATTCTCAGCACCACATGGAAATAAAAAAAATAAGAAAGGTACATTAACAACTAAGAAATTTTTACAAAAAAAATTTTGACATAAAAATTCTGCTGGTACTTGAGTAGTTTGTAGTAAGCCAAATTGTGGTTCAAGGTAGGCGAGTGGTCCCTTGAAGATGTACAAATATGTGTGAAAAATCAGACCATTTACAAAAAAGGTATTGCTGCTGTCTGAGTCCTTTCTTCATAGAGTGATTTGAAGCAATTAAGAATAATCTCAAAAGCTGTGAACATATTTAATACAGTGGTCAAAACACGGAGTTGCATATTTCAAAAAACAGGCTGAGGCTAAGAATATCCTTCTGATTAAATAAATTTAGGTGAGAATAAGATGTGTAATTGACAACAATATGCCAGATGTTCAACTACCCAATTTTAAATCTTGAGGATAAATAGCTTTCAGCCTGACTTATGATGAACAAAAAACTCTAAGGAAACTCAAAAATGCAAGAAAGCATCCCCAAGGCCCTGATGGGAGCCCAGCTGCACAGCCAAATTCATGCTCTCAGAGTTTCTTTTTAACATTGAGTCTGGGGGCCCACTGCACATCCTGACAGGAATTCGATTAATCTTGGGCATGGCCTAGTGGGAATTATTTTTAAATATTTTTAAATAATTTTTAATTATTTTAAAATATGGGATTGATGGCTTCAGTGAAGTCTTTACTCTTCATGATCCTAGCATGGAAACATCCTGTTCATCCTTCAAGGACACTGCAGTGCTCCCATTTAACTACCAGTACTCCAAACAAACATAGCAACTTCTGCAGTGCATGCTAATTTGTAGGATGTCCAAGAATACAGAAAAGTTCACTGAGGAAAGCAGGGCCACCTAGGGGTTGAATTTGACTCTATCAAGAAATTAACTGTTTTGTGTGTCTGTGGGTGATGCTGGGGTTGTGGGTGCCAGGCAAGACACTGACTGGCATCTCCAGCCCATTTAATTCTTTTTTATTTTGAAACACTCTATCACTAGGCTGGCCTCAACTTTGTGATGTTCCTGCTTTAGCCTCCCAAGCATCTGGAATTACAGGCATGTACCCTGACACCTAGGAGAAACCAGAATTCAATAGGCAACCATGTCATTATCCCCTATTCTACATGGCCTTTAGCAAACTCATCAGAGACTTTAGACCACAAGTCACAACCTTAAAACAAGTAGGGGAATTTTGTATGATACACATTCCCAATAGTGTGCAACTGGATGTATGAGGCATTTTAGCAAAAATAACTCATGTCTGTCCATATAACAATAATTATTCATTTTATGATGTATATTATAAGTATATAATACAATATTATATAATAATAGACATTATTATTGTTATGTACCACTAGAATGGCCATCCTATGTATCAAAAAGAGAATGAGGAGTTCCTTGTCCACTGTGTCTGTAGGGCAACAACACAGAGTAAGAAAGACGTTGATATTGACCTCAAAGAAAGGGAAGTGTGGCCAGAGATTGGGTTCCACACCAGTAAACAAGACCAGTTCAGACATACAATAAGCACCAGGGATCCCTGAGGCCCTGATCAGAGCCCAGGTGCACAGCCAAATCCATCCTCTCAGAATTCCTTTTTAACATTGAGTCTGGGGGCCCACCGCACATCCAGACAGGAATTCCATAGATCTTGGGCAGGGCCTAGTAGGAATTACTTTTAAAACTTCCCTGCACATGACCCTTCTGTGTTATGAGGGTCGAGATCTGCATAGCTATTCCAAATCACTTTTTTTTATTAGCCTAGAGAAAGGAGGTTCACAGAGGTCTGTAGGTTCTCACAACTGTCCAGTGTCTTGCAGACATGGTCTGGAATTCTGGGAAAACACTCAGAAGCTAGTACTGATATTACATTTCTTCAAGTTTCGTTTTCCCCAGCTCCAATTTTCTATCTTATCTTTGCACATGTGCCAGTGCGTGCGCTTGCACACACACACACACACACACACACACCTTTTCTTCTTTCCTCTCCCCTTAATGTTTCTCTTCCTGAGTTGTGCAAGGGTCTGTTTTGTTTTTTATTTTGAAACACTGTCTCACTAGGCTGGCCTCAACTTTGTGACGCTCCTGCTTTAGCCTCCCAAGCAGCTGGAATTACAGGCATGTACCTGTAATTCTCTAAGCAAGGTGGTCAATAACAAACCAGCCTGAGCCAGATCTTCACAGAACCAGAACCAATGACATTTCAGAGCAATGACAGGCAAAACACTTCCTCCCTGCTCTGCATGCTATCTAGCACTTTGGGAAATGGACAGCCCAAATGTTCTCTACCCATGAGAATTCTAAACACACTATCAAATAACAGATCCTTTCTAATTGATTGATATTTGGCATTTTATTATAGCCTGAACATCTGATGACTACAGGAGAAAACCTGTCTCATTGATTCAGCAACTTGTACTTATGTCTAGCTTTGCGAAGACCTCCAGGATGTCCCTGTGGAAGCTGATGGAATTGATGAGGACTGCAGTGGGGGATGAGCTGGGCAGGAGGGGTTGAGCAGGACCTGTTTTCATCAGGCAGTGTGTCCAGGGATGCTTTATAAGAGGAAAACTTCTTGATGCTACTCTTCTTTTGATTCTGGTTTGAAAAGCAAAAGGAGGTAACTTCTTTAGAGGAAGCATTATTTTTAATTTGGTGACTGAAAAGAATATCAGCAATCACCTTTGCTTGGCGTGCCTCAATGTGCCAAGTTGTTGCTAAGATGCTTAGTGTTTAAACTCGAAGTCTATGAACTAGGTTGAGGTTGAGTGGGAATTTGAATCAGATGAATGCATCCATGCTGGAGCAATAGAGGGTTTTCTACCTAAGGAATCCTTTTTTAAAAAAATATTTTTTAGTTGTGGATGGACACAATACCTTTATTTTATTTATTTATTTTTATTTGGTGGTGAGTATCGAACCCAGTGCATCAGCATGAAGCAAACATTCTGCCAATGAACCAGAATCCTTGCCCTCAGGAAACCTGTGTTTGTGTGTGTGTATGTGTGTGTGTGTGTGTGTGTGTGAGAGAGAGAGAGAGAGAGAGAGAAAAAGAAATATTTGGTCTTTGTGGGGAACTTTTAATATTTTTCTCTGTGAATGTTTAATAACTTGAGTCTGGGAAATTAACTAGCAACACAGAGTGTTTAGGCTGCTATCTGAAATGTCCCCCAAAATCTCATATTTTGAAAGTTTGATTCCCAGTGCAGCATTGCTCAAAGGTGGCTCTTTCTGCAATTCATGGGATCATGAGGACTCTGATATCATAAGTGGATTAGTCCACAGATTCATCATTTGAATGAGAAATTAGGAGGTGGTAGAAACTGTAGGGTGTAGGGCCTAGTAGGAGGGAGTGGGTTTTGGATACATAACTTTGGGCACTCTATCTTGTGCTTCTCTCTCTCTCTCTCTCTCTCTCTCTCTCTCTCTCCCCCCCCCCCGCCCTACCCATGCACCAGTCAGTGCTTCCCATCTGCAATGTAGTGGGGTCTTCTCCTTCACTATGCCTTTCCACATGATGATGACACAATACATAGGAATGCAAACCTCTCAAAAATGCAGCACATTTAGGATAAGATTCCTATTCAGAGAATTACATAATTCTATGCCATATCTGAACAATCCCTGTTTCCAGGTGGGCAAACAGGAAGCTGAGGGGAGGCATGACTTCTCCAAGTTCACATAGCCATTTTCACAGGTCCTGCTGCCATAAGCTCAGGGGACTGACTCTGCAGTAACTCCCATGTCCTTGCCCCCAAGGGTCCTCCAGGCTGAGAGACAGGAATTCACACCTCAGGACAATCTCTGTCCCAGGTCTTCTTTCAACCAGTTCTCAAAAGGAAACAATGAAGGAATCTCCATCTCTGCTTAAGTTTCAGTTTCTATGAGCAGGAACTTGCCAGTTTCACTTTCCACTTCCAGATTCCACTCTCCTATTGTATGCAGACAGGGGCAGATTACATCATCGGTTGCTTATAAAGCCTTGTCCTGGGTTTCATTAGGAGAATACCTACAGACAGACCACCAGATCTCTGAAAAGCCCACTCGACTGAAGAAAACTGTAGAACTGCAACCTCATTCACAGCAACCATGAGGTGAGAAATTCTCTGCTTTTTTGTCCGCAAGTCTAAAGGTTTAGAAGCAAAATTAATCAATACTACCTCAACAGGTTGATTCTCAGGCCTCCTAAACTTTCTATTGAGTATCTGTTCATAGACTAATGTGTGTGTGTGTGTGTGTGTGTGTGTGTGTGTGTGTGTGTGTGAGTGTAACATGCAAGTGCATTATAGCCACAGCTAAGCTGTTGTATTCATGTAGGCATTTTCATTTCTGAGGATGAAAATTGAACTTATGTAGGTACATTTATGCAATTCCTGGAGAAGCGTAGGACAGAGGAAATGAGTTTTGCAAGAAGAGAGAAAATGATCCCAGAATCAGAAATTCTTTTTCCTCACACTATTTCCCATCTAGGGAAAGGGGATGAGCTTGTCAGGTTAGAGACATCTCTTTCTCCTCACTCCTCATTTTGGTAAAAAAGGACCCACACAGTAGTGTGAGGTTCAATGGAGCCTCCCAGATGTCTGGGGAGATACTGTGGGGATGGGGTGAGAAGCTCATGGCCTTCTTCTGGAGACTCCTCAGCTCACCTTCTGAGGGTCCAGCTCTGATGAAGCTCTGAGTAGATTGAAGGTGAGCAGATCACATTTCCTGGGGCTGCCCATCACCTGCAGGTCCTTGGCATCTACCTGTCCATGGGTCTTGGCTGGTGGTCTCTGCTTAGGAACATCCACATCTTCCTTATCAGAAAGGCCCAATGGGAATTTCTCTATGGTCCCAGCTGAATCTTGAATCAAGCAACTCCTGAGATCAGCAGATATAATTCTTTTAGTTAATATTGATTGACTTGCAAATGTCCCTTCTGGGCAAAACTTGTAAGAGGCAGAATTTCCAGAAACTACAAAACCACAGGTCAACCCTCTGCCAAATATTGACTTGGAACTGAAAATCTAAAATGAGAAAGAGTAATAATACCAAAGGATACAAGGTAGCTATCTAATTCTGAATAATTATTCAATGCTAATCTGTTTTCTAAAACTATTTTGTAAATTATTACATTGAATCCTTAAAAGAAAATTATGAGGCAATTATTTATCCTAATTTTACAGAGGTATTGTCTGACTTAGATAAGCTAGGATCACCCAGTCCATAAGAGGTGGAGCTGAGATACAAATAAGACACTGTATTAAACTGTTAAGCCAATTTCTGTAAAAGAGTTACAGTGTGGTTTCCGGACATCATTTCAGATGCCATCCTAATCAGTTGTTCCGTTTTGATGGTTTAATGTAAATTTCAATATGTGCCACGACAAAATATGTATAAAATAGCACTAGGATGAAATTTGCCATTTTAAATTTTCAAAGTCTAAAATTTACTGGTATTTATCATCTTTCTTGTTTTTCTCCCCACCCACTGGTTGAGCTTCAGTGTCCCTGAAACTCCCCAATTCCTGTTCTCCCTGCAAGGAGTCTTGCTGTCGTTTCTCTGGGATCTGTTAGTGAGAACTTGCTTCTGTTATTTCCCCTGTGTCTTGGAGTGGCTGTCTCTGTGTCTCTCCTGATGGACATGTCTGCAGTAGAGAGTGGTTACTTTGTTGTGAAGAAGGCAGAGAAAGTTCAACAGAAGCCAATGGATCCTTTTCCAGTATAAAGAGGTTTGCTGTGAGGGGACAGGGGACACGTGGTCATGGGTCAGACACACAGGTATTGGGCTGTACACCAGGATGAAGAAGTAGCCACTGAAGGCACACTGCAGATATCCAGGAACAAATACCATGAAGTTACATCAGAGCAGGACAAGAGTTTACAATCACACTCAGGAGAAATCTCAAAACCAAAGAAGTAGAAGAAAAAAAAAGTTGAACACTACAATGTCCTTTTGTCCTGTGTTCCTTCATCTGCCATAAATTTGCTTTTTTGGAGGGGGCAGCACTGAACATTGAACCCAGGACCTCTCTCAGGTGAGGCAAGCACTCTACCATAGAGCTACATTCCTAGCCCTTTTTCACATTGTATTGTGATAAGGGCTCTCACTAAGTTGCCCAGGGTAGCCTCTGACTTGCAGTCCCCTTGCCTCAGCCTCCTGATAAGCTGGATTACAGGCACACACACCTACACTTGGGGACCATCATGTTTTAAAGGCTCTTCCCTATTGTAACATTATCAGCCTTTGTTGCTTTCCATGGCTGAATAATATCCAGTTGTGTATATCCATTTATCAAATCAAGAACATTTGTGCAGTTGTCACCTTTGGCTATAGATAGTGCTGCAATAAACATCCATGCACAAGTGTTGCTTTCAAACCTGTTTCCAATTGTTTTGAGCATCAACGTATGCTAAAGATACACTCATTTCAGATAGTGGTTGCAAATATTTTCTATCATTCTGGGAGCTCTTTTATCAGTCTGTTGATTGTGGCCTTTGATGCACAAATTTCTTCATTTTGGTCAAGTCCAACTCATCTCTTTTTCTGTTGTTTCCTGTGATTTGATTGTCACAGCCAAGAAAACATTGCCAAATGCAATGTCAAGAAGCTTTTCCCTTATATTTTCCTCTGCAAGTTTTATTGTTTTAGTCTCACATTTAGGTTTTTAATTCATTTTGAGTCATTTGGTATACTAAATAAGGTAGAGGTCCAACTCACTGTTTTACAAATGGTGCTCTAGTTTTTCCACAGCATTAGTTATAAAGACTGTCCTTTATCCCAGTGAGTGGACTTGACATGCTTGTCAAAGTTGCTTCATCAATGTTCTGAACTGAATCTCCAAATCACAAGTTCAAATCTCTAAATATTAGCTTTAATGTGACAGTCTCTTAGATAGGGTCTAGAAGGAGGTAGCAAAGATTAAGGGGAAACATAGGATGAGGCCTTGCTTCTCTAGAGCCAATGTCATTATAAGAAGGTAAAGAGATACTTAAGTTGTCTGCATCCATGGGCCAGGGAGGGATGGCCAAGTGAAGTACAAAGTAAGTGGCCACTGGGCTGGGGTTTTGGCTCAGTGGTAGAGCGCCTGCCTAGCATGTGTGAGAGTTCAATTTTCAGCACCACATGTGAGTAAACAAAATAAAGGTATTGTGTCTACCTACAACTAAAAAATATTTAAAAAATAAATAATTCAAGTGGCCATCTCTAAGTCAGTGGCCTTCTATAAAGAGCCCTTGCTAGGTACCATAGGCACACATTTTTACTTGCAATTCTAGCGTCCATAACCCTGAGAAGAGTTCTACCACCACATGCTTTGTTATTATGGCAACCTGGGCTAGTAATGTAACTCTACAGATGAGAGTTTATTTCCAGGGTCTCTCTTTTCTTGGTCTATGTGTTTCTACTGCCTTTCATATGGTCATTATGCCACACCATAATGTTTGGATTTCTATAGCTTTGTATTCACCTCTGAAATCAGAAAGTGTGAGAGGTCCAGCTTTGTTCTTTGTTCTCAAGATTATTTTGGCTATCTCAGTGCCTTTGTGTAATGGTTAATCTGCATTGCCAACTTGATTGTGTTAACATTATAGGTGTTTCTATCAGGGTGTGTCTATGAATGATTGGCATGTGCGATAGCCTACCCAAATGGAGAACCTCCTTACGTTTGGGCAAAGCTAACCAATAGGATGATGGCTTAAATGGAATAAAATTTGGACGAAGAAAGAGGCAGCAGCAGATGCAAGCTGGATTCTTCCTGAAAGTCTTCTCGATTGCTTCTACCATATCTGAGGAATCAGACTCTCTCTTCTTTACTTTTCTAAAACAGACTCTGACAATGATTCTCCAGAAGACTTTGTGCTCAGACTAGAGTAGCACCATTGATCCCTCTTGTTCTGAGGCTTCAGCCTCTTTGACTGCACAGCTACTGGTTTTCCCAGCTCTCCAGCCTACAGATGGCCATTGTGGACTATTCAGCTTCTGGTTGCATAAGCCCACCTAATAAGTCCCCTTTTTATAATTATACTTCCTGTTGATTCTGTTCCTGAGAACAGAACTGTTCCAAAGAACATTCTGTTCCAGAAAACCCTGACTTATAATATACTGAGACACCATATGAATTTTAGGATGAAATTTTCTACTCCTGGAAGAAACTTTCCGTGGAACGTTGGTAGGGATTGCCCTGAATCTGTAGCTCACTTTGGGCAGTACTGACAACTTAGCAATATTAAGCTTCTGGCCTATGAACTTGGGATGTCTTTCACTTTTCCGTGTGTCTTCTGTCTTTCAAAAATAGCTTGCAGTGCTCAGTGTAGTCTCCTTTTCCTCCTTGATTGAGTTTATTCTTAAGCACTTCATTCTTCTCCTTGCTATTGTGAATAGGATTGTTTTTTTCACTTCTTTTGAATTGTTCATTGTGTTTAGAAACACAACTGAGTTTTGCATACTGATTTTGCATTCTGCTACTGTGCTTCATTTGTCTAGTAGTTATAACAGTTCTTGTGTGGCCTCTTGAAACTCTTGTACATATAATTTATGCTAATTGGAAAAGGTAAAAGCCAGAATACTTACCTTGTTCCAGATGCTAGGAAAAAAGATTTCATTGTTAATTTTTTGAAAATTGATTTTATTTTGTTAAATACATGACAGTGGAATGCATTACAATTCTTATTACACATATAGAGCACAATTTTTCATATCTTTGTATATAAAGTATGTTCATGCCAATTCATATCTTTATACATGTACTTTGTATTTTTTGCATTACAATTATTATTACACATATGTACCACAATTTTTTATATCTCTGTATATTACATATGTTGACAATCAATTTGTGTCTTCATACATGTACTTTGGATAATGATGTCCATCACATTCTACCTTCCTTGCTAATCCCCTACCTTCTCCCTTTCCCTCCCACTCCTCTTTCCTAGAATTCATCTATTCTTCCCATGCTCCCCCTCTATTCTCGATTCCTCTGATGCTCCCCCTCCCTACTTCACTATGAGTCAGCCTCCTTATATCAGAGGAAAAAATTGGCATTTGTTTTTTTTGTGGGGATTGGCTAACTTCACTTAGCATTATTTTCTCCAATGCCATCCATTTGCCTGCAAATGCCATGATTTTATTCTCTTTTACTGTTGAGTAAAATTCTATTGTGTATATATGTCACATTTTTTTTTTATCCATTCATCCACTGAAGGGCACCTAGGTGCGCTCCACGGTTTAGCTATTGTGAATTGGGCTGCTATAAACATTGATGTGGCTCTGTCCCTGTAGTATGCTGTTTTTAAGTCCTTTGGGTATATTCCGAGGAGAGGGATAGCTGGGTCAAATGGTGGTTCCATTCCCGGATTTCTAAGGAATCTCCATTACTGCTTTCCATATTCGCTGCACCAATTTGCAGTCCCACCAGCAATGTATGAGTGTTCCTTTTTCTCCACCTCCTCACAAAAATTTATTGTTGTTTGTCTTCATAATAGCTGCCATTCTGACTGGAGTGAGATGATATCTTTCATTATTTCTTCATTGAGGTTGATACTAGCTGTGGACTTTTCATATACAACCTTTATTGGGTTAGGACATTTCCTTCTGTTATCCTGACAGGGAGATAAATGTTGTTGATGGGTTTTCTGCAAACTGACTCTTTTTTTCTGTGACTCTGCTAATGATCATTTATGCTTATGGTTTTTATGTGTTGAACCACCCTGTTGTATAACATTCTCCACTTACCTGACATTCTTTACATTACAAATTAACAGCTGTAAGACTCTAAGGGGTACATGAGGTGATGATGTAGTGTATCTTCATCTGCATCTTGTGGTGCTTTCAGAGGTTTATTTTGTGAAAGAATGGTAGAGCTGTACACATGTTGTGGTAACCAAAGCAATTAGCTTGTGTTGATACTATACTAGAGTTGTAAAAGTTATAATTACTGGGAGAAATTGGGTATAAGATACACTGGATCTCATCACAACAACCTTTCATTTTATATTTATTTCAAAGTAAAAAGTTAAGGGGAAAAAAAAGCCAAGCTCACAGTTTCTTTTCTGTAATTCCAAGCTATCAGGAGGCTATGCCAAGAGGAACCCAGTCTGTGCATTTTAGTAAGACCTTCTATCAAAATAAAATACAAAGGGCTAGGGATGTAGTTTAGTGGTAGAACTATTGCCTAGAATGTATAAGGACTTGTGTTCATTTCTCAGAGGGGACGAAAAGCCTTTGTCTCCTATTATTCTCTGTTCAATGGTCTTCATTGTTTGTATCCACACACTTTATAGTCCCGAAGTCGATAATGTTCACTAAAGTTACACACTTCTAATCAGTCTTTCTTATTTTTTACTAATAGTTAAATAAAACCCTTTTACACAGCATGTGATATGGAGTGTGCTTTCCTTAAGCAGGGAAAAATATTAAAAGTTCCAAAAGGCCAGGGTGTCAAGTGCCATTGTTATCATAATGTTACAAATGTGATTCTAAACGGTGACTTGCTTAGAATGTGCTGGAACAATACTATGAAGCCAAGCAAACTACAATCACTATTCATGCCTGACTTAAAGATCTAAATACATTGATGTGGCTGCATCACTCTAATATGCTGCTTTTAAGTCCTTTGGGTGTAAACGGAGGAGTGGGATAGCTGGGTCAAATAGTGGTCCCATGCCACGTTTTCTGAAGAATCTCCACATTGCTTTCCATAAAGATTGCAGCAATTTGCAGTCCCTCCAGCAATGTATGAGTGTGCCTTTTCCCCACATCCTCACCAACTTTTATATTTGCTTGTATTCTTGAAGATTGCCATTCTGACTGGGGTGAGATGAAATCTTAGAGTAGTTTTGATTTGCATTTCTCTAATTGCTAAGGATGTTAAACATCTTTTCATATATTTGTTGATCAATTGTACTTCTTCTGTGAAGTGTCTGTTCAGTTCCTTAGTCCATTTATTTATTGGGTTATTTGGTTTTTTGATGTTAGAGTGTTTGAGTTATAATATATCCTGGAGATATATCAGAGGTGCACGTGGTAAAGATTTTCTCCCTTTCTGTTCGCTCTCTCTTCATGTTATCATTTTTTTTTTTTTTTGCTGAGAAGAAGCATTTTAGTTTGAATCCCATCCCATCTATTGATTATGTTTTAATTAGTTATACATGATAGAAGAATGCATTTTGATTCATTCTACACAAATGGAGCACACCTTTTCATTTCTCTGGTTGTAGACAATGTAGAGTCACACCACATGTGCAGTCATACATGTACCTAGGATAATGATGTTCATCTCATTCCACCATCGTTCCTGCACCCATGTCCCCTCCTCTTCCCTCTTTCCGCTTTGTGCAATCAATGTTCCCCCATTCTCCATCTGCCCCCCCTTATGGATCAGTATCCACTTATCAGCACATTCAGCCTTCGAGTTTTTGAGATTGGATTACTTTCCTTAGCATGATATTCTCCAGCTCCTTCCATTTACCTTCAAACACCATAATTTTATTCTTTTTAATGCGGAGTAATTTTCCATTGTGTATATATATACCACAGTTTCTTTATCCATTCATCTGTTGAAGGGTATCTAGGTTGGTTCCACAGTTTAACTATTGTGAATTGAGCTGCTATGAACAATGATATAGTTGTGTCACTGTAGTATGCTGATTTTAGGTTCTTTGGATATAGACTGAGGAGTGGGAGAGCTGGATCAAATGGTTATTGCATTTTGCAAATTGCAATTTTCTATGGAATCTCCATACTGCTTTCAACAGTAGTTCTACCAATTTGAAGTGCCACGAGAGTGTATGAGTGTACCTTTTTTTTCCCCACATCTTTGCCAAAATTTATTATTGCTTGTATTCTTGATAATTGCCATTCTGACAGTGTAAGATGAAATTTTAGAGGAGTTTTGATTTGCCTTTCTGTAAATATTAAATGGGGGGGGGGAAATAAGGGGTAGGAAGGATAATAGAATGAATCAATATTATTACCGTATATATACACACATTAACTATAAGACTGGCAGGATTCTACACCATGTACAACCAGAAGAATGACAAATTATACTCCATTATATATGATGTATCAAAGTGCATTCTACTGACATGTATAATTAATTAAAACATATTTTTTAAATTATTTTTAAAAATCTGAATACAGGTGAAACTTTCAGTTTGCACTAATATTGTAGTAGATGTTTCACTGGGGTTTTCCTTATGGCTGTTCCTCACCTAACAGATAAAATCCACTTTTTTTTCACAGTGAGAATGCAGATGATCATGGGATCCAGGACAAGCTGTGGCAGTTGAGATGTCACTTCACGTGGGGGCTGGAAATTGAAGACAATGCAATACCGGATTTAGAAAGCAGGGTCATGGAAGAGATTGAGTTCCTAGACACCAGATACAATGTGGGGATTCACAACCTTCTGGCCTATGTGAAGCACCTGACAGGCCAGGATGAGAAAGCCCTGCAGAGCTTGAGAGAAGCTGAAGACTTGGTCCAGAGGGAGCACGCAGACCAGGCAGACCTGAGGAGCCTGGTGACCTGGGGCAACTGTGCCTGGGTGTATCACCACATGGGCAGATTGGCAGAAGCCCAAACTTACCTGGACAAGGTGGAGGACACTTGCAAGAAGTTTGCAAGTCCCTCCCGCTACAGGCTGGAGTCTCCTGAGATGGAGTGTGAGGAAGGATGGGCCTTGGTGAAGTGTGGAGGGCAGTATTATGAGCGGGCCAAGGCCTGCTTTGAAAGGGCTCTGAGAGTGGAGCCTGAAAACCCTGAATTCAGCCTGGGGTTTGCCATCTCCTCCTTCCGTCTGGATTATGATGATGAAAACGTAATTTCTCTAGAGCCCCTGAGGAGAGCTGTCAGGTTAAACCCAGAAGATGCATATGTTAAGGTTCTCCTTGCCCTGAAGCTTCAGGATGTAGGACAGGAAAAAGAGGGAGAAGGCTACATTGAGGAAGCTCTGAACAGCACATCCTCCCAGCCCTATGTCTTTCAATATGCAAGCAAATTTTACCGAAAAAAGGGCTGTGTGGATAAAGCTATTGAGCTCCTTAAGAAAGCCTTGGAGGCAAGACCCGACTCTGGCTACCTGCATCACCAGTTAGGGCTTTGCTACAGGGCAAAACTGTTTCAAGTAAAGAATGGGAAAAATATGAACCCTAGAAGGCAGGAAAGAGAAAATGTGCACAGATGGGTTCAATTGGCTATAAAAGAATTCCAAGAGACTCTAAGACTAAGGCCAAGATTCGAGATGGCTTACGTTCACATGGCTGAAATGTATGCAGAAAGAGGCCTGTACCGAGAGGCAGAGGAAAATTTTCAGAAAGCATTATGCATGGATAACCTTGCTGACCACATACAGCAAGACATTCATTACCGCTATGGCTGTTTCCAACAATTTCACATGAGATCTGAAGACAAAGCAATCACCCACTATTTAAAAGGTCTAAAGATAGAAGAAATGTCCTTTGCCAGGAAAAAACTTATAAGTGCCTTAGAAAAACTGGCTAAAAGGCGTGTGGACCAGAATGTGAGTGTTGTGGAGAGTGTCAGCCTCCTGGGGCTCAGCCACAAATTAAAAGGGGAAGTGAAGGAGGCCCTGCTGTGCTATGAGAGGGCTCTGAGGCTCACTGACCAGCTGAACCCTGTGTTTTGAGGAAGGGGCCCCATCCCCCATTTCATCTACTCACAACTAAATAGAACAACAAGCTTTTCTGCTTGCTAACTCCCAAAATGTATAACTGATGAAATAAAAATGTAGATGGGGATAGCACATGCCCTCTCCCCTGCCTGCCTGCTCCTGCCTTCTCCCTGCTTCCTTAGTGCCTAGGCCAGGAGCATCCATCCTCTCTCCTGGCATCCCTGCACTCATTGGCCCTGGATGAAAATCCTGTTTGACACCCAGCAGCTGCTGGACCCACCAGGATCCTTTTCCTAATGACTGTGCCTTGGAAATGAACTGCTTCCTCCTTCAGTGAGGCTGTTGTCCTGGACCAAGGAGAATTCAACAGAAAGGGGTTCTTTCTTATGTGGCCAGAAACTCTGAGGCACTTCAAGATCTAAAAGCAAGACAAATGATCAAAGAGAAGAATATAAAAGGCGAGGCCTTGAGAAGTTCAGTATAACATTCCAGCCCAAGTACCATTTGCCCGGCCCCACTATACCCTAGACCTGCTGGTCAGTGGGCCCTTTATACAACCTTCTCATCATTTAACCTTTCATTTTCATGTGTCCAGCTGCTGGAAAATCACAAGGGAGCTATGTGATCCAAATACATAGCTGGAAATTTATTCATAGCTACAAAGACTTGATGTTTTAGGGAAAGAAAAGGGAAGTCAAAAACCTGTTTGGGATGTGCAAGGTCAAAATGACACAAATAGGTTCATACCATTTTTTGGTGTTTATTAGGTAGTATGTGATATAATATTTTTTACCTGACATAAAAATATTCAGTAAAATTGGCTAAGAGCACCAATTCTTTGATTGTATTTTGTGTGATATTCTAAAAAGATATATATTCTCTGTGTAGAAACAGAAAACCATGGAACATAAAAAGGCAGCCATGACAATTCAAATATCACCAAGTCTTTAGAAAACACAGGGAAGATATTCACTTTAGAGGGCATGGGATTAGAAGCCTGACTTATGTGACCTGGATCCCTGAGGGATGTTGACCAATGGTGGGGACTGGGAGTGGGAATGGGTTTGGTTGTGGCATTCATTTCACACTTGGGGAACCCACAAGTGACACATTTTTGATTTTGTTGATACTTAACCAAGAACAAATTTAGTAAATTCAACCAGAGGAAACTATTAGAACAGAAATATTGTCCTTTATTGTGTGTGGGAGGAAAAACAAAGTATGACTTGGGCTCACCAGGCCTCTCTCTGAATTTGTTACCATGACTGTTACAGAGTAACTTGGAGGGGGAGATTTGCCTCTGCTCACAGAATTAATCTAAATGAGAACTCTGAGGGCACATCTGTACTCATTGGAAGATACACACAAGGTACTTCTGGTTGTCACACTAGACAGCTCTTGGTTTGGCTCAGTTTTATAGTTGTTGGTAAATTGAAGGCCATTGTTCCGGGCCCATTGGATGGTTTAGGCAAAAAGATGTATGGGCATTTATATCCCTTTGGCTGAATTCATCACAAATGTAATGAAGCTAGTTGGTAAGTTGTCAGAAAGTGTGATTTCAATGCACCAAACTCACTCATCAATGAATATTGAAACATCCCCAGTACTCCAGGTACTAGAACCAAAATCAGTTTGCTAGCAACTAGTTTTTGAGTTTCTACAAGTTTGTGTGCATGTATGTATGTCTATGTGCATGCACGCAGGTGTGAGTATATATGCACTTGGAACAGCAAAACGTAACTTCTCATATAATCTCTTTTAAACAAAATCAGCTCTCAGACAAATAAGAGGCACTTGATAAGGCATAATGGGTTGGTTGACTGAAAGTCTTGTGAGTGCTAGTTTTGTGTAGCTCATATATGCAATATGTAGCAGAGAAGAACAGAGGACCGGGAGTATAGGACTGCATAGCTCTCTCTGCTTACGTGAAAATGAAGACTATGGAAGAATACATTAAACTTTGCAGTGTTTCCCCGTGCAGAAGAGTGTGGAAAAGAAAGAGGAACTGCAATAAAAGATAGACTTCTCTGTATTCACTTTTGAAACCATGTCAATGTTCTATGAAATTCCTATTTTAAAAGCCATCCACATATGTATGTGATTCATGAATTTATCTTTTTACTTTTTAGTTGTAGTTGACACAATACCTTTATTTTATTCATTATATGTGGTGCTGAGGATCGAACCCAGCACCCCGCACACGCTAGGCAAGTGCTCTACCGCTGAGCCACAACCCCAGCCCGCAATTCATGAAATGTTTAGCAATTAGTTATGCTGATTGCATTTTAATCCAACAACAAAGAAACAGAGAAATTGATGGATAGATAGAGAAATTAGTGGATTAATAAATATGCAATAGAGTAAACAAAATAAAATGTAAAATGTAGACTCTAGGTGTGTGAGTGTTCATTGCAAAATTCTCTCAGCTTTTCTGTTTGACAATGTGCATTATAAAATGCTTGGATAAAAAAAAGGCAATACTAATATCCAATTAGTAAAGCAGACTGAGTGACACAAAGGAGCCAAAATGTATATGGAATGGAGGACGAAACCACACACAGAGAAAGGATTTCCAGGGATTGGTAATATACAGCAATTTCACTCTACATATCTAGTAGGATATATCTTTTGACAAAAAGATCAGAGAAAATTCTTCCACTCCATTTAGCACTCATTCTGAAGGGTTTTGTTGGCTGTCAATGTGTTTTAGAATAGACCCCATGAAAATGAGTTGTTGTCACTTTGAAAAGGATTGCTCTACTTGGTAGCAAAGATGCAGAGAGCTAAGTTGGACCCAGTTAAGTAGAAATCCTGTGTACCTGAATTTATCAGATGAGCTCATTACACATCATCTTAAAATGCACACATAGTATCAATTTCATTTTCCAGGTTTTCATAATGTACTACAATTATATAAAATATCACTGTTGGGGGAAGTTGGTTGAAAGGTACACAGGAACCTTCCTGCTGCTACCTATGAGTTATCACAGTTTCAAAAAGTGAGTTAAATACTAAAAATGACACAAAAATTCTAATAGTACTTGAGTACTTGCAGTAAGACAAACTGCAGGTCAAGGTGGGATGAGGGGTCCCTTGAAGATCTCTAAGAAGGGATGAAAATTATCAGACCATTTGCAAGAAAGGAGTTTTGTAATCTGAGTGCTTTCTCTTTGGTTGTAATTGGAAGCAGTTTAGGAATAATCTCAAAGCCTCAAGTACATATTTATACCTTGGTCAAAACAATGAGTAGTATATTCTTAAAAAAAACAGCATACCACAGTGGTGCAGCCACTTCAATATTCATAGCAGCATAATTCACAATTGCTAAACTGTGGAATCAACCTAGACGCCCTTCAATAGATGAATGGATAAAAGAAACTGTAGTACATATTCACAATGGAATATTACTCGACATTAAAAGAGAATAAAATTATGGCATCTGCAGGTAAATGAATGGAGCTGGAGAGTATCATTTGAAGTGAAATAAGCCAATTACACAAATCCAGAAACCAAATGTTCCTCTGATAAGTGGATGCTAATCCATATGCAGGGCATGGAATGAGTGGAGGAATTTTGGATAGGGCAAAGGGGAGGAGGAGGGACAAGGAGATAAGAAAGATGATGAAATGAGGTGGACATCATTACCCTAGGTATATGTATGATAGCACGAATGGTGAGACTACTCTGTGTACAGAGAAATGAAAAATTATGCTCCATTTGTGTACAATGAATCAACAAGCTTTCTACTGTCATGTGTGACTGATTACAACTAACAATAAAAGAAAAACAGGTTGTAACATTATTGTACAATGGTTAGTTTTCAGTCACACCACTCTAACTGTGCTAAAAATTGGTTGATTTTTCAATGTACGTATCCTCCCAATACCATGTTATTTTGGAAAAGAAGATTATTGGCAAAGATGTGAGTGGTGGTGGGTGGAGGTCAATTAACAAAAATAAGGATTAAAACAACAAAGAATAAATGAAAAACAGGTTGTAACTAAGAATATCCTTATGATTGAATCAATTGGGGAAGTGTGATGTGCAATTAACAGAGATATTCCAAATACTGAGTGCCAGTTTTTAAATTATAAAGAGAAATATTTATACATCTGACTTGATGATAAAGTGAAAACTCTAAGGAAAATCAAAGACCCTGAAAAGCATATATGGGTTGGCGACTGCAGTTAAGCCTTTCCTGATCCTAGCATGAACGCATCCTGTATGTCTTCTGAGGTCATTAAATTACTTTTGCTTTGCTATAATTACCACCAACAGTAGCTTGGGCAATGCAGGCTGTTGGAAAGGATGCACCCAATGCAGGAAAGTCGGCTGTGGGAAGAGCGCCACCTAGGGGTTTAGTTTGTTTCTGACCCCCCCACCCCCACCCCACCAAAAAAAAAAAAAAAAAAAAACAGGTTTTCAATACTTTACTGGTCACTAGCTCTTATTTGACATGGGCTTCAGCAAGCTGGTAACAGATTTCGGGCCAAAAGTCATGACTTCTGGAACTGTGTACAGTAAGCATTTACTAATACTATGTGATTGGGTATTTGAGATATTTCAGCAGAAATGGTTCAATGTCTGTCTATGAAATAATAATGATGACGAAGATGATGACAACGATGTTGGTAGTAAACCACTCAGAACTGCATTATTTTTCCATACCATTCTGTTGAGGATGAGGACAGAAGGAAGAATTCCTTTCCTGCTGTATCGATGTGGAAACAAGGCAGAGAGTAATACCTAGATAGAAGTGGGGGCAGGGATTGCGTCCCATACCACTGAACAAGTTCCTTATAGCTGAACATTTGCTGAATACAGGATAAAACCTGTCCCATTAATTCAGCTCTCTGACGGCCTCAGGAAGTCCCTGTGGAAGCTTATGGAATTGGTGAGGACGGGAGTGGGAGATGAGCTGGGCAGGAGGGGTTGAGCAGGAACAGCATCCATCAGGCAGCGTTGTCCAGGGATTTCTAAGAGGAAAACTGCTTCCAGCTGCTCTTCTTCTGCATCTGATTTGAAAAGACATAGGAGGTAACTTTTTTAGAGGAAGCATTATTTTTAATACAGTGACTGAAAAGAATAACGATAACTCAATCACCTCTTTTGGGCATGCTTTTTTAGAGTAAGCAGCTAGAAAGAGAGCAAAGGAGATGGGGAAAAGAAAATTCAGACTCTACCTCTGGGTAGCACCATAACCAGGTGCTGCCTTTATCAGATTAGACAGCTCCCTGTCAGTCTGGAGAGAATGGATGTGGTCTATGCTGAAAAAAAATTTCCAATGTGACAAAATTGGCACAAGCACACTAAGCTGTGGTGGAAAACCTCAGTAACTGCCCCAAATACATTATACACGAGGAGAGAGGTCCCCAAGCCAAATATAAAAAATTTCCATGTGGGTGACTCCCCCAGCAGGCCCTTTCCTCTCTTGAAGGTGGCTTGCTTCACACACGTCTTCCACCTCCAAACAAACTTCCACATCGCTAAATAAATAATTTTTTTTTATTTTCTATGATTCTTGATTAAAATCTTTCTTTCAAGAAGACAAGAACTGAGAAACCCTTCACCTGATAATTTTCATGTGCCCAGTAGTGTCTAAATGTTTGAACTCAAATTTCACAAACTGTAGTTGAGATTGGATGGGAATTGGTATCCGAACAAAGGGGTCCAGCTGGGCGCAGTGGTGCATGCCGGTAACTTGGGACGCTGAAGCAGGAGGATAAAAATTTTGAGGCCAGCTCAGCAATTTAGCAAGGTCCTCTGAAACTTAGTGAGACCCTGTCTCAACATAAAAAAAAAAAATTTAAAAATCAGGGCTGAAGATGTAGCTCAGTGGTTAAGTGCACCTGAATTCAATCACCAGTACCCCTTCCCCCCACCCGAAAAAACAAAAACTTAGAGGAGGTCCATGCTGGAGCAATAGAAAGTTTTCTGTTCCAACCATAGGATCCAGGGTTACGAAGCACTTTTTGAGATTTGACTTCTTTCCTTTATAGGGAAGTTTTAAACTTTATTTTCTCTTTGATGTTTCAATAACTTTAGTCTATGAAACAATGTGCGAATACAGAGATTAAGAGGAAAAAATAAGGCACATAGTTATAAATGTGATAAAAATGGGCCCATGACAAAAGAATTAATCTCAGTGGTAGAGGAGATAGTTGAAGCTTAAATATTCTCCTCAGGAGGAAAAGAGAATGAGATAGGCGAGGGGGTGGTAGGCAACTTTAGAGGCACACTAAGCAATTATTGAAGAGACTGGACAGACCTGAGGACAGGAAGTGACTTGTCAATGATTCGTTCTGGAATTTGAATGAGCCTCAGGAACAGACATAACCTTGGGAGAAAGTCCTTCTCAATGATTCGTTCTGGAATTTGAATGAGCCTCAGGAACAGACATAACCTTGGGAGAAAGTCCTTCTGAGTGTGAATACACTCCTGCAGAAAGTGAGATTTCAGGGTGGGATCCAAGGCAACTCTGGTCAGTTTTGGTTCTGGTCTTAATCCAGAGTAGGGAATTGCAGAGAAGCTCCATCTCTGTTTTGGAGATAGAAACAAGACAAGGTATGATATAGTTTGATTCTGAGTTCCCATCTGAGCTTCTCAGCATGACAGCAGGCTAATCTTTGGTTTGTCAATTCCTCCTCCTCCTCCTCCTCCTCCTCCTCCTCCTCCTCCTCCTCTTTCTTTTTTTTGTACCAAGGATTATACCCAGGGGCACTTAACTACTGAGCTACATCCCCAGCCTTTTTTTTTTTTTAATACAGACATGGTCTTGCTAAGTTGCTTCTGACCTCCCTAAATTGCTGAGACTGACTTTGAATTTGAACTTGCAATCCTCCTTCCTTAGCCTCCCATGCCTCTGGGATTACAGGAGTGAATCACCATGCCCAGCTCTAACACCTCATTTCTAAACAAGGTTGATTGCTTATTTCTGTCAAACTGACACCAAATGTAACAACTAGAATGCTTTTTACTTCATTAAGAGGACACCTTTATGTGTTATATGTGCCTTCAGCACGCAGAAGGCCAAGTGAGAGTGTGGTAAGAGCCCTCCTGAGAGACAAGACAAGGCGACTAGGCATAGTCAGTTTCTCTGTGTAGATGTCTGTTGCAAGTTTGTTGCAACTCTTTGTGGCCTAGGATACCTAACTAAACTGTATATTACCATATATGTGAGACAAAGGGGCTAACATGTAAAAGAAACTAGTAAAGGGTATATAAGGCAATGCCCCAATTGCACTCCAGGCTCAGCCTTTGGATACAAATCCCCTGGGCCAGCGCTGACACTAATAAATATTGCCCCCATGCCCTGTGTCTCTGCCCAAGAATTGCACACAAAAGCAGAGCTGCCTCCTGAAATTCTCCCTTTTCTGTGCAGTCATCCAGATTCCAGACACTGGCCTTCATGAGAGGCAACAATGAGCTGGCTACCAGAGAGTTCCCTGAGGAAGGACCTCAACTCAGGACAAGTGGGGTCTTTGGCATAGGTGATTGTTAGGGTCTGTAAACAAGTCAAGATGGCGCCTGGCATTTTGCCAGGGGGAGTGGTTTGTGAAGTAACGCCAGCGAGCCATTAAGTGTGGAGATTCCTTATTGGTTGACTGCTGTATCTAGTTTATGTTAATTAAGATAAGTGTGTGGAATGTATATATACCCCTCCTGTCCTACAATAAACGGCTCCCACTCCTGCTGTATCAATCTACACAAGTTGCTCGTCACCCCCCCCCCCCCCCCCCCCCCCCGGTTATTTTGCTGCAGCCAGACTGCGGCAGATGATGGACAAGAATTTCAGCACATGCCAGTCAGAGACACAAAGAGATTTATTTAGGAAAGCAGATGCACATTCAAGAGAGAAGGTGGCCTATCTCAAGGGTAAGAGGCTTTGGGGGTAAAGCAAGGAACACACGTTCAAGGGAGAGCACGAACCATCTGCAGAGGAATAAAGAGCAGCCCCTTGTTCTGGGGTGTTAATGTGTATAGAGGGGGAGTAACAAGAGGCTGACCTAGAGGAGTCAGGGTGGAGTTACACAATTTCATACCAGTTTTCCCTGTGCTCTCATATTTCCTGTTACTTTTGGTAGGCTAGCACCTGGGCCGAAGAAGAGGGGCATGGACATGGACCAGGTTGCTCATGAGTTTCTCGTTGTACATTTCAAAGGTTCCTGGGCATTTCCTGTTTCCAAGGGGTCATTGAGACTCAGTGCTTTTGAGATTCATTATATCTTTCTTTTTCTGTATTCTCAAATCCTTATCTCAGGTTGATATTCCCTGTTAGGGAAAGAGGCAGATGTGGGCGCCAATGCTAGCCAATGACTGGATTTCTGTAGCGCTAGAAATATCTATGGTCCAGGTGCACAGTTACTGGTAATATGCTTTCAGTTACTCAGCACACCTGAAAATCTCAAAAAAAAAAACCACAGTACTTGGTTCTTACCCCTTGACTCTTAAGCATAAAGCCGTGGGCAAAAGGCACCTTCAGAAATTTCCATCTCTTATCTCCAATTCTCTCTGCCTCTGCCTGACTGCTTGATATTCACCTCTGTTTATAAACAAGAGTCTGCTATTTTTATTCTTTTCAAACCATTAACCAGAGGTGGGAACTTTGGGCTGGGAAATGATAGATATGAGACTGAGCCCGGTATTAGGAGCCTACAGAGGGAAAGCTTGGATTGAGCCTTCAGTGGAAGGGAGACAGCACTGATTGACAAGGGGAACTAAGCCACTCCTCTAAGGAAAGGGCAGCTTTTGACCAAGTTGCTGAGGTGCCTTGGGCCTGGTATTTCTTATCTGTCACGAGTGTCATACTTTTTAAAGAAATTTCTTCCTTATGGAAGATATGGATCAGTTGATAATTAGTTTCTTCTTAGAGACCTTATGATATCAATGTTCTGAATCTTGAGGTGCACTAGCTCTTATGGCCCTCCCAGTCATTGAGATAAGATTGTTGAAACTATGGAAAGAAGGAGAAAGAAAAAAAAAATGCCTCCCTATCAAAGGAATGACAGGTTGGGGAATTAAGGCCTCTGGTGTTCTGCAGCCTTTCTGAATACAATTCTTCTTCTAATGAATGACAGGTCAAAGCTAAGGCCTCGGGTTTTTTGTCTTCTGTGCTCATGGTGGTTCCAAACCATCACAAAGCCACAAGGAAAATTATGTAGTATCCAAATTATACATGACAAGCCCAGCACATTCAGATTCAGTTTTCCAGGGAAGCAAGTCTGACACCTCCTCCCAATAAAGGGCTTTGCCATTATTAAATGAACTGAGGCTGGGGTGAGTTTGCTCTCTGTAAGCTACTGGAGAGCCATGACTTCACCACACCTGCCAGGAAAAGGGAGAAATTTCCAGAGAAAGTTAGGAAAAGCAGAGCTCAGCAGAACATCAGTAAAAAGAACCAAAGCTGTACCCATAATCTCACACTCAGCACAGGGGTATTCTTCCTGAGCTCTGCTCACAAACTAAGAAGATTGCACAGGTAGGTAAAAGTAGAGCAAGGATAGTTTTCATGACGCCAAGAGGAAGAATGTTCTCATATGCATGGCTATGAGAACCATTTCTGGGGAATCCCATTGCCTTAGGTGGCTAGATTAGAGAGCATCAGCATTGGGAAACACATCGTCATTCAGTCCTAATATGATCTGTTTGAAGGCTCAGGAGGCTGCTGGCACATAGGGCTTCTCTCTTCCTATGAATAAGCAAGAGGTTACATAGATGCTTAATGACAGTGAGCACTCTCCAGAAGGTAAGCAATGGATAGAACACTTAGTAACACACACCTCTCAGAGAAAGGCAGTACTCTTGGAATAAAATTCCTATTCAGAGAATTACATAATTTTATGCCATATCTGAACAATCCCTGGTTCCAGATGAGCAAACAGGAGCAGAGGGGGAGGCATGACTTCTCCAAGTTCACACAGCCATTTTCATAGGTCCTCCTGACTCAGAGGACTCTGAAGTAACTTCCAGGTCCTTACACCCAGAATGTCCCCCAGGCTGGGAGACAGGAATTCACACCTCAAGACAATCTTTGTCACCAGCCTTCTCTCAACCAGTTCTCAGGAGGAAACAAAGAAGGAATCTCCACCTCCGCTGAGGTTTCAATTTCTATGAGCAGGAATTTGCCAGGCTTAGTTTCACTTTCCACTTTCAGTTTCTAATCTTCAATTGCAAGGACACATCTGCAGATTACATCATCTGTTCCTTATAAATCCCTGTCCTGGGGTTCCAATTTATGAGCATATCTACAGACAGACCACCAGATCTCTGAGAAGCCCACCAAACTGAAAACACTGCAGAACTGCAGCCTCATTCACAGCAACCATGAGGTAAGGATTTCTTTGCTTTTTGGCCATTATATTTAAGTGTTAATACTATCTCAGCAAGTTAGTTCTCTGAGATCAAGCTTTCTAATTTTTCTGTTTGATTATCCACTCATAATGTGTGTGTGTGTGTGTGTGTGTGTACACACACATGCAAGGACATTTATAGCCACAGCTAAGCTGTTGTATTAGTGTAGGCATTTTCATTTCTGTTGAACTTATGTAGCTACATTCATGCAATTCCTGAAGCAGACTAGGACAGAGGAAAAGAGTTTTGCAAGAAGAGAGAAAATGATTCCAGAATCAGAAATTCTTTTTCCTCACACTATTGCCCATCTAGGGAAAAGAGATCAGGTTGTCAGGTTAGAGACATCTCATTCTCCTCACTCCTCATTTTGGTGGGAAAGGACCCACACAGTAGTGTGAGGTTCATGGAGCCTCCCAGATGTCTGGGGAGATACTGTGGGGATGGGGTGAGAAGCTCATGGCCTTCCTCTGGAGACTCCTCAGTTCACCTTCTGAGGGGCCAGCTCTGATGAAGCTCTGACTAGACTGAAGGTGAGCAGATCATAGTTCCTGTGACCTCCAGTCCCTGCAGGTCCTTGGCATCCACCTGTCCATGGGTGTTGGCTGGAGGTCTGTGCTTAAGAACATTCACATCTTCCTTACCAGAAAGGCCCAATGGGAATTTCTCTATGGTCCCAACTGAATCCTGAATCAAGTAACTCCTGAGATCAGCAGATAAAAAATCATTAGTTAACATTAACTTGCAAATGTCCCCTCAGAGTTCCACTGGGAAAAAATTGGGAGGGGAAGAATTTCCAGAAATCACACAATCACAGGTCTATGATCAACCCTCCTGCAAAAACAGATTAGTCACTGCCTAAAATAATCAATTAAGCATAAACATTGTAAAAATAGTTATCACTCCCTGAATGCTTATTAAGTGCCAGTCTGGCTTCCAACAGTATAATATAAATTATTATATTTAATCTTCAAAAAAAAACCAATGAGGCAGGTACCTATATTATGACTTTGCAATATGGAATCTTAGATCTCGAAATGTAGTGATTACACAGACAATAAGAAGTAGAGTTTAGATATGAATAAGTCTGTTTATTAAACTGTTAAACTGAAGTTTCCCATAGAATCACAGTGCGTTTGCATGACATCACTTCAGGTGGCACCCTAATATGTTGTTACATTTTGATGATTTAACGTTAATTTCAACCTATGCTAGGAAAAAAATTATATGTGTCATATATAATATTTAAGTTATATAATTTGTAAAATTTCTATTTAGGTTAGCAGCATGAGTCTTTTTATTAGGATAATATAACATGTAAGACAAAATTTGTCATCTTTAACTTTTCAAACTCTAAAATTCACTGGTATTTAGCACCTTCACCATGCTGTGTGAGCATCATCACCATGATGACGTAGTTTAAGGACATCTAATAACTGTGAGAAGAACCTCGTACACATTGTCACTTCCTACTCGGCCCTCTCTCAGGCCCCAGCAAACTTTCATCTGCTTTCTGTGTCTCTGCATTTGCCTGTTTGGCTCTGTCATATGAATGGACACATACAATATGTGGCTGGAATGGATTCTTTCAATTTTATGTTGCCTTCAGCCTCCATTTTGAAGACGAGTTGGCCTTTCTCATGTGGAAGCTGAGTGAAGTTCCTCTTGACACAGCTCCCGGTTCTTTACTACCTCCCAGCTCCTTAGGGTGACTGATCCAGACATCTGCCTTCTGCAAATTTCTCCTGGTAACCAGTTTTGTGGGACCTCCCTTTGGGACCGGTCAATAATTAATTCCTTAGGAGATTCATCCTACTCACCCCTAAGCCCTTCCCAGACTGGGCAGATATGCCACAGTATCCACCTCTCAGTGACACCATGATCCCATAGAACTGGAACCAACTTGCTCTAAGCCCACCAATTAGAACTCTCTGCAGGATTCCCACCTGAGTGATGTCTTGGACCCTAATAAAGGATTGGGCCCGTATGAGAAGAGCCTAGTGATATTCTTTATCTCTTGGTCCCTACCCACTGGTTGAGCATCAATGTCCCTGAAGTTCCCTACTTCCTATTGTCCCTGAAAGGCATCTTGCCCTCTTTTCTCTGGGATTTATAAGTGGTGGACTTCTTCTGTTATTTCATTTGTTGTTTGAGTTGCCCTCTTGTGTTTCACCTGGGTAACAAACCTGCAGTTAACTTCTTTCCAGGTCAGAGCTGCCTCAGAGAGTATATGCTCAGGTGTGAATGAAGAGGACAAAGCCAGAAAAACTATGGATTTTGCCAGTGTCTACAGATTTGCTATAAGGGGGCACCTGGTCATGGGTCAGATATTTAGGCATTGGACTGTCCACCCAAATATAGATGTACCCTTGGAAGACACACTGCAAACATCCATGAACAAATGCTTGAAGTCTCATCAGAGCTGGACTAGAGTTTGTAGACACTATCATGAGAGCCCTCTCAAACCACTGCCCTCCCACCTACAAAAACAAAACAGGGTACTCACGGTTGGCTTCTTTCATTTAACCCAATGTTTTTAATGTACACATGTGTTATATCAGGTGTGAATGGTTCATTGCTTTTCATGGCTAAAATTTTTTCAATTTTGTGGGTATATAACTTTTTATTTATCCATTCATCAATTAATGAACTTTTGCATAGTTTTAACCTTTTGGCTATCGTGAATGGTGCTGAGAATGAATATAAATATACAAGTGGTGTTTTCAATTATTTTGAGCATATATTCTGATGTGTAATTCAATAAAAAAAATATATTCTGTAGTGAATCATATGGCAATTGTACATTTAACTTACTGAGGGACTGCCAAACTCTTTTCCGTAACAACTCTACCATTTTACATTCTCACCCAGCAATGTATGAGGGTTCCAATTTCTCTACATCCTCACAATTCACTGGCTATGTTCCTCCCCCCCCCCCTTTTTTTATTGCTCAGTTACAGGTAAGAGGTTGGATCTCTTTGTGGCTTTGATTTGTGTTCTTCAAGTGACTAAGGATGCTGAGCATATTTTCTTGTAATTTCTGGCCCTTTGTAACTCTTCCTTGGATAATGTCTCTTCAGGGTCTTTGCCCATTTGTGAAATGGGTCTCTTGTAGTTTTGTTGGTGAGTTATGGGAGGTTGTTACACATGCTGAATATGCATCCCATTTCATATAGTGATTGCAAATATTTTCTATCACTCTGGGAGTTGTGTTGTCTCTGTCAATGGTGTTCTTTGATGAACAAAAGTTCTTAATTTTAATAAAGTCCAGTATCTCTCTCTCTCTCTCTCTCTCTCTCTCTCTCTCTCTCTCTCTCTCACACACACACACACACACACACATTTCCTGTGATTTTGGGATCAAAGCCAAGAAAGCATTATCAAATGCAAGGTCATGAAGCTATTCACTCATGTTCTCTTTACAAAGCTTATAGTTTTAGTCTCACTTTTAGGTTTTTGATCCATAAAGGCATGCACCTTGATGTGGGAATTCTAACTTCCAGAACTGTGATAAAATGAATTTCTGTTGTTTATGCTACCTAGTTGATGATGATATTTTGTTATGGCAGCTTAAGCTGACTAATACAACCATATATTCAAGGATTTATTTTTGGGATCTCTATTCTCTTACATTGCTCTACTTTCCATACTCTTCCAGTAGTCTATATATCTCTGCAGTCTTTCATATGGTCTTGATGCCCATACCAGAATGTTTTGATTTCTGTAGATTTGTAGTAAGTTTTAAAATCAAAACTATATCCCCAGCCCTATTTATTTTATATGTTGAGACAGGGTCTCACTAAGTTGCCCAAAGTGGCCTTGAACCTGTGATCCAACTACCTGCCTTAGCTTCCCAAGTAGCTGGGTTTACAGGTGTGAGCCACCACATCTGGCCCATTTTGTAGTTTTCAGTGTACAAGTCTTTTATCACCTTAGTTAATTTTTTTCAAGGTATTTTATTCTTTTCTATGTTATTGCAAGTGGGATTTTTTCATTTGTTTTTGGATTTTTATTGTATATAGAAACACAACTGAATTTTACATATTGATTTTATGTCCTTCCATTTTGCCTAATTTGCTTATTAGTTGTAACATTTTTGTGTGTGTGCAGAATCCTGAGGGTCTTGCACATATAAGATCTATGTTGAATATAAGAGATGAAAGGAGGCATACTTGACTTAGTCCTGATCTTAGAGGAAAAGTTTTCAGTGTTTCACCATTCAGGATGACTACATCTGTGGGGTTTTCATAAAGAGCCTTTACTGTGTCGAGGAAGTTTCCTTCAGTTACTCTCTGTTGAGTGTTTTCATCATGCAAATGTTTCTGGTTTTATTATTTTTTTCCAGCTGCTTTTCTGCATTAATTTGGACAGTTGTGATTTCTTCTTTCATTCCATTTATGGTATGTGTTATGTTTTGGATATGAGGTGTCCCATATGTGGTGAGACAATGCAAGAATGTTCAGAGATTAATCAATGAATTTATCCATTGATATGTATTAATTTGGGTAGTAACTATAGGCAGGTAGGGTGTGGCTGAAAGAAGTAGGGGGGGGGTGCCTTTGGGATTTACATTTTGTCCCTTGTGAGAACAGCTCTCTCTGCTTCCTATTTGCCATGTCCTGAGCTGCTTTCCTTTGCCACACTCTTCTGCTATGATGTTCTGCCTCACCTCGGGCCCAGAGCAGTAGAGTCAGCTGTCTATGGACTGAGACCTCTGAAGTGTATTGAGATCTCAAATGTATTAAAATATGTGAGCAAGTTTGACTAAGGAAATGGCTGTGTGGATAAAGCTATTCAGTTCTTGGCAAAGGTCTTGTGGGCAATACCCAACTCTGCCTTCCTGCGGCTCCAAATAAACTTTTTCTTCTCTATATTGTTTTTGTCAGGTCTTTTAGTCACAGTGACACAACAGTTGATTAAAACAGTATATTACATTAACGATTTTCATGTGTTGAACCACCCCTTTCTATGACATTATCCATTTAAATGACATTTGGGAAATGCTGGAGATTAAATCCAGGGCCTGACACATGTTAGGCAAGCATTTGACCATTGAGCTACACCCTCTGCCCTTTTTAAGTTATATGGAGACATGATCTCACTATGTTGCCCGGGACGGGCTTGAACTTTATCTTTCTGACTCAGTCTCCTGAGTAGCTGGAATTACAGCTGTGCAGCACTGAACCAAGCTTCCATTATATTGTTGAATTGACATAATTACAGACATGAAGAACATGTTCTTCTATGTCAATTCAATAATATAATGGAAGGCCGCAGGTGTGACTATAGAGGGGTATCTTGAGGTGATGTTGTGGTAATGAGGTGATTCTGTACCTTGATCAAGGTGGCGGTTCTAGAGGTTTACTCACATGAAAAAATAGCCAAGTTACCTAAACTCATTGTTGTGCTATGTCAATTTTGTAGTTTTGATTTTGTACTGTAGCTGTGTAACTTATCATTGAGAGAAACTGGGTGAAAGATACATTGTATCTCTGTACTATGTTCACAACTTTTGTGAACCTATCATTATTTCCAAGTAAAAAGTGAAGGGAAAAAAACTGTCAAATATTTTCTCATTTCAGTCATCTTCATTGGTTGAATACCATGCACAGTGCAGTCCTGAAGTCAATAATGTTTACTGGAGTTCTGCCTTTCTAACTGGTCTCTGTTGTTTTCAGTTAAATAAGAAGTTTTACATAGCATAAAATAAACTTTAATAGTTTCCATATGTAGACTTATGAATCCTCTCGGAGCCTAGCATGACAAGTGTTAATGTTATCACAGTTTTGCAAATGTGACCTTGAAGAACAGAGTGGTTACTTGCCTAGAAAGGGCTGGAAACACCTTAGAAAGCCACACAATTTACATTCATTGTTCCTGCATATTTTAAAAATCCAGGGAACTCTAAGTAAAATTTCTGTAAATGTGGCACTTTCAGAATAAGAACTAAAATTGAACAGGATGTTTTATTGGGCTTTTTCTTATGGCTGTTCCTTACTCAAAAAATAAAATCTGCTTTTGTTTCACAGTGAGAACACTGATGAGATCCAGGACAGGCTGTGGCAGTTGAGATGTCATTTCACGTGGGATCTGCAATTTGAAGACAGTGAAATACCGAATTTAGAAAGCAGGATCTTGGAACAGATTGAGTTCCTAGACACGAAAAACAATGTGGGGATTCACAACCTCCTGGCCTATGTGAAGCATGTGAAAGGCCAGGATGAGAAAGCCCTGCAGAGCTTGAGAGAAGCTGAAGACTTGGTCCAGAGGGAGCACGCAGACCAGGCAGACCTGAGGAGCCTGGTGACCTGGGGCAACTGTGCCTGGGTGTATCACCACATGGGCAGATTGGCAGAAGCCCAGACTTACCTGGACAAGGTGGAGGACACTTGCAAGAAGTTCGCAAGTCCCTCCTGCTACAGGCTGGAGTCTCCTGAGATGGAGTGTGAGGAAGGATGGGCCTTGCTGAAGTGTGGGAGAAAGAATTATGAGCGGGCCAAGGCCTGCTTTGAAAGGGCTCTGGCAGTGGAGCCTGAAAACCCTGAATTCTATGCGGGGTTTGCCATCACTGTCTACCGCCTGAATTACAATAATGTAATTTCTCTTGGCCCCCTGAGAAAGGCTGTCCAGCTAAATCCAGATAATACATATGTTAAGGTTCTCCTTGCCCTGAAGCTCCAGGATATAGGACAGGAAACTGAGGGAGAACACTACATTGAGGAAGCTCTGAACAATACCTCCTCCCAGACCTATGTCTTTCGATATGCGAGCAAGTTTTACCGAAGAAAAGGCTGTGTGGATAAAGCTATTCAGTTCTCGGCGAAGGCCTTGCAGTCAACACCCAACTCTGCCTTCCTGCATCACCAGATGGGGCTTTGCTACAGGGCAAAACTGTTCCAAATAAAGCAAGCTAAAAACATGCAGGATAGAGAACATGTGGACAGAATAGTAAGATTAGTCATATTTCATTTTGAATTTGCTCTGCAACAAAAGCCCACATTTGCTCTTGCTCTTCTGCACTTGGCACGTATGTATGTTGAAGCAAAGGATTACAGAAAAGCCGAAGACAGCTATCAAAAATTGTTATTGATGGAAACAGATGAGGATCAAGTACTGGTAGATGCACATTTCTACTATGGCCAATTTCAGGAATTTCAAAAGAAATCTGAAGATGATGCAATTAGGCATTACTTAAAAGCAATAAAAACAGAAAAAGAATCACATTCAAGGAATCAAAGTATGAAGTCTTTGGAGAAATTGGCCTTGAAGAAACTTCAGAGAAATGCATTTGACCTGGAAGGCTTGAGCCTTGTTGGTTTTGTCTACAAATTGAAAGGAAAAATAAATGAAGCCCTGGATTACTATGAACGGGCCCTGAGCCTGGCTGCTGGTTCTGAGAAAACTGTGGGACATGGTCCTTAGGCACTGAATATCAGCCACTTTCACATTTTATTCTCTTTTAGGTTAATATGTACTATAATCATCTATTCTGTTTGCTGCTTTCAGAAACATTCTGTGTAATTCATTGTAATGATGTAATTTTTAAACAATTACTCAAAACCTAATATAACCTTAAACAGACTTAAATTGTATTTAGAAAATGGTGAAACACAATGTTTGTGTGTGTGAGTGTGTGTGTGTGTAGAGGGGGGGGAGACAACATTTGTGTGAATGCTATTTAGTAAAATAAAAGTTTACTGAGCAGATTGGTAGCAAGTAAAGACACTGAACTTGCATACACAACATGTTTAATTAATTCATTTTATCAACAAGTAGTTTATAGTAATATATACCAAAAATACTAAGGTGAACAGCAAATGCTTTTCCTGAACTTCATGCAGTTTATGATCTAGTCAAAGAAACAGGTACATAATTAAAAGTGGACTTTCTCCATATTTCAGGTTTAATTTACTATCAAATTGTCCCAGGGAGTTTCTCTTGTACTATGCCATTTTATTTGAAGCACTATTTAAGTTACTTACTGATAATCTATTGATCTAAGTCAAGAAATATGAAAAGGAGGTAAAACAATTTGATAGCAGAGCTCACTGATGCAAAACAAATCTCAGGATTGCATAATATGTTGTTCAAGGTAGGTTTGACCATTTCCAAGTAGCACACTTAGATAATGTCTTTTTGTTAACTCAACAGCACCTCTCTTTTTCATTCTTCTCAATTCTGGAAGAGGTATTTGCACTTCTCGGTGCTGAATAATACTACAGTGTGATACAGTCTGGATGTTTTCCAGAGAAAAACAACACATAGCAAATCCTGAAACTTAGGTGCTCTTTTGTATTGAAAATACTACTGACAAACTTATACATGAGCATCTCTAGGCATTACCAAGAAGTCTGTTTAAGTTGGCAACTGAATTTTAGGAACTTATTACTTCCAAATAAATGACTGACAGATCCTCAGTTGGTACTCTTATTTAGATTGACTCCTGAGGTGCCCAAGCCCAGGCCTTTGCTAATTGCTTTCACTGTAGGATCCAGTCCATTGTGGACCACTCTAGCCACCAGTGTATTCCATTCTCATGAACTGCTTCAGGAATCAGTCTACCCTACAACCTCCTCCAACTAGTATTACCTACTCTATTCATCCATTTTCTGTTACTATGACAAAATATTTGAGGCTAGGTAAGTTATAAAGAAAATAGATCTACTTAGCTCACAGTTTTGGAGGCTGAAAATTCAAATAGGATAGCATAGGCTCTAACAAGGTCATCCCCCCCCCCAAAAAAAAAAAAACTGTACCATGTCAGGGTGTATGATATGATGGAGTACACAGATAAGGAAGCAATCACACAGCCAGACAGGAAGTCAGAGAGGGAAGAGGGGTCATTTTTACAACCTCTCACTAGGCACTACCTCTTGAAGCTTCCACCACCTGTTAACATCACCATGCTGGGGACATACTCACAAACCATATTCAAACCTTAACCCCCATCATCAGCCTATGGTCACAGCTATGTGCCTTGCTCCAACTAAACCAAATGTGATGGCAACCACTTCCACCCTGAAGTTCCATGCTAAAGGACATACTCCTTGAAACCTCCACTTTTACTTAGGCCTCTTCCTCCTAAATATCAATATATGCCCAACATCTCCTGATCTGTATTCATTTTTCCTCTCTGACCTGAAGTCTGCCTCAGATCACTTGCAGGCAGTATAATTATTTTTAATTAGAAATATAAATGATGGTATTATTTACAGCAGGGATTCTCAACCCTGGTGGGGTGAGGGTAGTGAGACAGGAGGATTTTGCTTCCCAAAGGGCTTTGACAAGGTCAGAAGGGTTTTGTTGTTGTTGCGTGGTGGTGGGGGGGGGGGGGGGGGGGGCAGGAATCACAATTGTGGGGTACTTCTGCCATCTAGTGGATGAACACAAGAATGCTGCTTAAAGAGCCTAGAATGTATTGGACAGCTTCCCACAACAAAGAATTATCCAGCCCAAATGTTACTAGTGCCAAGTTTGAGAAAGTCTGACTTCATCTACTTCTTGGAAGTTATTGACAGTCAGTGTTTATTCTGAAGGACTACTTTGGGAATCCCTATTATGTTTGTTTCCCAAGCAGGTTTTACAACAAGTTGTGTTTAATTTTCTGTTCCCCTTTTCTCCAGTTGTTGTATTTTACATGTTGATAAACATAATGTTCAAAAGACAATGAATTATTGATTCTCTCAAGATTTGCTCAGTTCAACCGTCTGTTTAAAAAAAAATTGGTATTCAAATTCCATGTAGTAATTTCAGCATGTTCAACATACTCCCTCAACAGCCAGGTCTTTTTTTTTTTTTTTTTCCAATCCTGATAATGTATAGTCCTTTAACATTTTTTACAGATGATTTGTGTTTTCCTAAACAATGTAAGTAGATATCCGAGAATTTTTCCCTTTGACTTTTTTTTTAACCACTGATGGCTTAGTCATTTAAACTTCTATAAACAAAAACTATTTCTTAGCCCATACACAGCTAAGAAAAGGGAAGAAGAAGTAGGAACACAGAAAGGGAAGAAAATGATGGGTGTATGGGAAAACTTTTCAAACATCAGAGCTTTATCAAATTTTTCTATAATCTTAGCAAGACGGAAATTCTGGGTTTATTTTTCAATGCAAAATAAATCTGTGAGTACCTTTTCTAAAATTTGGTTTCAGACTTCAGGTAAGTATTACTCTAACTTACAGGCCTACCATGCGCATGTTCTCTCCCACCTAATTTCTGACCACAAAGTTCATGTTTGCCAAGTATGTTCCCCCCTGAGGGCCTTTGCACCTACCTTTTTATCTACCTGGAATGCTTTTCTCCAGTCTCATATCCACAGTGCTCACTCCTTCATCCCCTTCAGATCTTTGTGCAATGACCATCTTCTCAGCGAAACCTTCCCTTACCACCATATTTATAAAACATTCTACACCCCCACCCCTCTCTTTGCTCGACTTTTCCCGTAGCACCAGCATTTAATAGGTTTTGCTTATTGTCTTTATCACCCCACACCAGAAATGAACTCCATGAAGGTATGGGCCTCATCTGTTTTATTTATTGCTATGTTGACAGTACTTTGAACCAAGTCTGGCTCTTAGCAGTTGTTCAATAAAATCTATTGAATGAACGAACGTCTGAATCCAATGAGCACAGAAACCTTAATGTATGGGAATATGACACTTTCTGCTTAGGTCCCCAATTCAACCCCCACCCCTTATCTTCATTGGGACCTTATTGCACAAAGCGCCGCGGCAAGGGCAAGGAAGTATAACACTCATACAACTGTGAGTGGAAATGTACACCTCTTTGTAAAGCCTAAAATGTATATGCATTTTGACAACAAACTTTTCCTGTTTTAAATATACCAAGTAAGAACCGCGGTGTACAGCGCTGCAGTGTTGCTGGTTGAATCCAAAGACAGGAACGCAAGCAGAGACATTAGATTCACTTAGATGGTAGAGAGCTGGAGAGAGCATCTTTACCACAATTGCAACAAAAATAATGCTGAACAATCTCCTGATGCTTTCGCTTAAAATAATGATAGATAAAAATTCGACAGTTAACCGAGAGGCACATGAATTCAGCAGGTTAGAGGCCCTGCTGCAAACTCAGAACGACCCTGCGCTCGGCAAAGGTTTGGCCGCGGCTGGTCCGCGCTCGCGTTAAGTTTCGGTTTCTGGAGCCGGTCTCGGCGCCCAGGGGGATCAGATTCGGTTTCCAGTTTTCTTTTCCCGTTCGGGTCCAGCCTTTAACAAAGACCTGCGCGCGGCCGAGTCCCCGCGCTGCCCACGCCAGGCGGGAAGCGCGCGCACGCGCACTCGCCTCCAGTCCGCCCGCCGCGGTAGCCGTGGTGCCGGGTGCTGTGGAGCGAGCCCGAGGGCACCGCCGCCTCGGACGGCCCGCAGAGCCCCGCCGCCATGAGGTAAGGGCTTCCCCGCCTAGCTTCTCTCAAGTGCTGCTTCCGCCTTTGTTTGAAACCGTTGTCGCTCTCGTGTTCGTTCCCAGGGCAGCGCTGCGGCCCTTCCAGGGGACGCGCCCCCCGCGCGGGGCTGCCGGGCGTCTGTGTTTGGGACGCTCCCTGGAGTCCCGTCCCGGCAGGCGGCGTCCGAAGTCCGGAGGGCCGCGGAGATGGCAAAAAGGACGCTGCCCGGGAGTCCCGACCTCCTCCCGCGGGCTCTGAAAGCGGCACGGGCAGGGCGGAGGGCAGGGCGACGGCCCCCAGGAGCCCGTCCCTTGCCAGGGTCTGCGGTCGGGACCGTCGCGGAGGGTGGCCAGGAGACGCCCCCCGAGGCCGGTTTCCTCGCCGCGCTGTTCTCAGCCGCCGCAGTTCAGGCGGTGCAGCGCCGGCGGCCGTCGCCCCCGCTCGTCAGCGCCCGCAGAGCCCTCCTTTCCTTCCCGGGAAGCCCCCGGGGCCGGGCGAGGCGGCGGCTGCGTGGCGCTGGTCACCTTCCCAGGCCGCCTTCCAGCTCGTGCCCCCCGCGTGGCACCCGCGGTTTCGCCCCAGCCTCCAGGCGTCACGTTTGCTTCCACTACCATTTGCCTTTCCGTTATCCGGCTCTTGAATGCTACCCTTTCTTGGCGCTATCCTCGTACCACGGACGGATTTTTCGTGTTCCATCCAATCCGTTGTCTAAAGCGCTACAGGTTTGTTTTTTATAAAAATTAGTGGCATCCAGCTCTGGGGTCTGTGGGAAGGGTTAATTGCTTAGCACATAATAGTTGCACAATAAATGTTAAGTGTCACTATCATTATTGTCGTTATAACAAGTTAGAAAAACAAGTTTAAGTGCCTCACTTCTAACATTTGTAAGAAAGGAAATAGGTAATCAGAAAAGGGCTTGAAGAAACAACCAGGAAGGAATGGGGTTGTGGCTCAGTGATAGAGGGCTCACCTACCATGCGTGAGGCGTGAGGCACTGGGTTCGATCCTCAGCACCACATAAAATAAAGATCTGTGTCCACCTGTAATTAAAAATAAATATTAAAAACAAAGAAACAACTAGGAAAATGGGATGTATTGCGTTTTGTGTGGGATGGACTGGAAGAGGGTTTGGCCCCACTGTGGTCTGTCTCCCAAAGATAAAATTGGTTTATCAGCTCTCATAGCCTCTCTACCAGTTTTCCAGAATCAAAGTTAAAAAATTAACCAGAGGGTGGCACACGCCTGCAATCCCAGAGGATCAAGAGTTCAAAGCTAGCCTCAGCAAAAAGCGAGCTGCTAAGCAACTCAGAAAGACCCTGTCTTTAAATAAAATACAAAATAGGGTTGGGATGTGGCTCAGTGGTCAAGTGCCCCTGAGTTCAATGCCCGGATACTCCACACCCACAAAATTAACCAGATGAAGTTTAAACAGTAGAACTTCTCATGATGTCCAATTGAGCATCATTTCCCCACCATCTGAGCAAAGCACTTTAGTGTCTCAGTGTCCCTTTTGAGATCTCACAGCTGTATTCCTAATATTTCTTCCTTGGACGGGCTGATTGAGATCTTATGAACAAAGGCAAGTGTTTATTTGACTCTATGATGGGCAGAAGACTAGTAAGGCCACATTGTCATGAATTTGGTTGGGCTGTAAGGACATGGTGCATCTTGTCATGCTTTTAGTGTAATTACACCAGAGAAGGAATAATTACCAAGGTGCAGTCTTTACAGGTTTCCCAGTCTGAATCTCTGGGTCAAATGCAGTAGTCCAAGATCTATTCTCAAACCCAAACATAGAGCTAGACAACAAGCAAGGATATAAAACAAGTGGGACAGAGACCACTGAAATGGGAGGAGTTTGGAGCCATCATTTGGAAGGGTGGAACTGGCAAGAATTCCCTCATTTGAACTTTAGGTGCTTTTTATGCTAAACTTGTGCTGGACACACTAGGAGCTGACAGTATATAAGTGGATTCATTCATTCAACAAATATTGATTGAGCTTCTGTTGTGTGCCTGGTATACACAGAGGTGAAAAAATAAAACAACACAAAGTACTTACTCTCAAGGGATTTATATTTTAATGGAAGAAATAGACAAACAGCAGATAAGTGAGTAAATAACATAATTCAAAACTGATAAGAGGTATAAGGAAAAATAAAACAGTAGAATAGAGAGTGAACTAAATTGGAAGGGGAAATTTTTAGATAGCTCTGTCACAGGCAGCCTCTTGGGTAGGAAGTATTTGTGCTGAGTTACAGAAAAGCTGGTCATGTGAAGATTTGGAAGCAGAACATATCAGGTGTAATAAGAACAATAGGTGATAAAGCCCTGAAACTTCTGTGCCCAAGACTGGAAGAATTCAATTCATCTAAAAAAAAGTGAAAAGGGGGGATAAGTTGGGATGTAGGTTGGACAGATGGATAAGGCCAGCTCCTTTAGGGGCTTGTAGAACATTGCAAAGGCTATATTAATATCTACGGGAAGCCCTTAGATTAAGGGAGATTAAAAATTGGGCTTATTTAAGCAGAAGAAACATAATTTAGTTTTCTGCCTTTTCAAAAGTTTATTGGTGCTGATTTGGAGAATGGATCATAGGGGGCCAAGAGTGCAAGCAGGCATAACAGGTCTTTGCCCATCCCAAAGGAAAGATAGTTGTGATTTAAACTAGGAAAATATATATATATCCCTCCACCTGAGGTTGCACTTCTTTACTCCCATCATAATAAGAATTCCTGGAAACAGTGGTCTGTACCCCCCATATTCTTATTTCCACCTCTATTATGCCCTGGAACCATCCCAGTAATGTTTTCATCCTTACCATTGTAGTGAACAAAGGCAGCAGAATACAACAGACACTAGTATGGCAATATGTAAATCAGTGGATGTGTAACCAGTGTGATTCTGCAATCTGTATACGGGGTAAAAATGGGAGTTCATAACCCACTTGAATCAAAGTGTGAAATATGATATATCAAGAACTATGTAATGTTTTGAACAACCAACAATAAAAATTAAAAAAAAAAACCATGTATCATAACAATAGATGTAACCTTCCAAAACATGAAGATCTCTAAAACACTGATATGATGTGCATAAAGCATGTATAGTATGCTAGCTTTGGTGTAAAACAGCTGGGGACAAACAAATGCATATATATTTGTATAATAAATACTACAAAGATAAAGCCCTGAAAAAAAAAAAAGATCAAAACAGGACTATCCACTCCTCAGAAACCCTCTACTGCAACTCTAGAGTAAGTCTGTACTGTCTCTTTTTGGATTTCTTCAATCCTCCCTCAGATCTGTCAGGGAGATTTGCTCTGGCCATCTGACTTTAAACTGTCTTGCAGAGTCCTTACCAACCTCCTGTTTCCTTTCCAGCTTTCTTTCTTTTTAAAATATCTATTTTTTAGCTATAGGTGGACACAATATCTTTATTTTATTTTTATGTGGTGCTGAGGATAGAACCCAGTGCTTCACGCATGGTAGGCGAGTGCTCTACCTCTTTAGCCACAACCCCAACCCCACCAGCTTTACTTTTTATCTTAGTAATGATCATCATCTCAATCTTTATTTTCATTTATTGTTTTGTCTTTATGTTACACCCCCCTCCCATTAGAAAGTGGCATCAGGTCATGATTTTATTTTGTTCACTTCTGTATCCCCAACACTTATAATAGCACCCTGCATATAATAGGCTTTCACTAAATATTCTAATGAATACATAGCTTCCCTGTCTTTTTGTCTTGACTCCCTATTGTTCTTTGTTTACAGAGTAGACAGGAATTTTTTAAAACCTAGACCAAAGGCTGCCATTTCCCTACTTTAAAATCTCCTTCCAAGAATAGGAATGTAGATCAAGGTTAGAGTGCTTGTCTAGCATGTGTAAGGCCCTGGGTTTAAATCCCCAGCACTGAAAAATAAAATTTAAATGAAATATTTCTGGGATAGAACTATAAATCAAGGAAACCAGAATAAAGTTATGAGATCCTAGTGCTTTAGTTTTAAGATCAAATAAGATAAAATTGGTTGGTATGTAAAGAACAGTAGGTAAGGTTTAGAAATTATTCCCTTTATTTTTTCAAAAAATAAAAAAGATTTTATCTTTTACAGTGAAATTCCTAAGGACTCCTTGAAAGCCGTTCTGTTAGAGTTGGACTGTCACTTTACATGGAATTTACTTAAGGAAGATATTGATCTGTTTGATGTAGAAGATACAATTGGGCAACAGCTTGAATTTCTTACCACAAAATCCAGACTTGTTCTTTATAATTTACTGGCCTATGTGAAACATCTAAAAGGTCAAAATAATGATGCCCTAGAGTGTTTGAAACAAGCAGAAGAAATAATCCAGAGAGAACACTCAAATGAAAAAGATGTACGAAGTCTGGTCACTTGGGGAAACTACGCCTGGGTGTCTTACCACATGGACCAGCGTGAGGAAGTTCAGAAGTATATAGACAAGGTAGGGAATGTCTGCAGGAAATTGTCCAGTCCTTCTGACTACAAGTTGGAGCGCCCTGAGATTGACTGTGAGAAAGGGTGGGCACTCTTGAAATTTGGAGGAAAGTATTACCAAAAAGCTAAAGCAGCTTTTGAGAAGGCTCTGAAAGTAGAACCTGACAATCCTGAATTTAACATTGGCTATGCCATCACTGTGTATCGGCTGGATGATTCTGATAGAGAAGGGTCTGTAAAGAGCTTTTCTCTGGGACCTCTGAGGAAGGCTGTTATGCTGAACCCGGACAACAGCTACATTAAGGTTTTTCTGGCCCTGAAGCTTCAAGATGTTCATGCAGAAGCTGAAGGGGAAAAGTATATCGAAGAAATCCTAGACCAGGTATCATCTCAGCCTTATGTCCTTCGTTATGCAGCTAAATTCTATAGGAGAAAAAATTCCTGGGACAAAGCTCTTGAACTTTTAAAAAAGGCTTTGGAGGTGACACCAACCTCTTCTTTCCTGCATCACCAGATGGGGCTTTGCTACAGGGCACAAATGATCCAAATCAAGAAGGTCACGCGCAACAGACCTAAAGGAAAAGATAAACTGAAGGTCGAAGAGTTGATTGCATCCGCTATATTTCATTTCAAAGCAGCTGTGGAACGAGACTCTATGTTTGCATTTGCCTACACAGACCTTGCCAACATGTATGCTGAGGGAGGCCAGTATAGCAATGCTGAGGACATTTTCCAGAAAGCTCTTCATCTGGAGAATATAACTGATGATCACAAACACCAGATCCACTACCACTATGGCCGCTTTCAGGAATTTCACTGTAAATCAGAAAATATTGCCATCTACCATTACTTAGAAGCCTTAAAGGTCAAAGACAGGTCATCCTTGCGCACCAAATTGATAAGTGCTCTGAGGAAATTGGCTACCAAGAGACTTTGTCACAATGCTTTAGATGTGCAGAGTTTAAGTGCCCTAGGGTTTGTTTATAAGCTGGAGGGAGAAAAGAGACAAGCTGCTGAGTACTATAAGAGGGCCCAGAAGATTGATCCTGAAAATGCAGAATTCCTTACTGCTCTCTGTGAGCTTCAACTTTCCATTTAAATACTTACCCTAGGAAATGTGGTTTAAGTTCCCCGCCCCATTTTGGTTTCTTGTATTTTGATTGTTTTGATCCATCTTCATTATAGAGCCAATATTTTTTGAGTTAACTATGTTCTAGACATTGTACTTAAATTTTCTATTCATTACGATGAATTTTGCTGTTTTAATTCTTTTTTTAATTACAATTCCATAATTCATTAAGAAACAGCAAGAGTCCAGCTGTTGTTATTTTTTTTAATGATATGGCCATTATGATTTGACACCCTTTTCTCTGCTATTTATAATAATTTTATGATTAAATTTTGTGAAATTTCCCATATTGCTTATGCTACAGAAACTTGATAGCTAAGTCAGGAAAATATTTTCAGGAATGCAAAATTGTGTTAAACTCTTACTTATATAGCTTGCAAAAAACAGAACCTTTCACTTAACAGATGTTTTGAGTCTAAAAGCATGTTTTTCAACCTGAAAGTCACCTAAAGAATTCTTTTTGTTGGAAAAATAGTAAAAAGTTTGTTGACTTCAATAAAAGGGGGAAACTATAATAGGAGAAAAAAGATATTCTCAATTTGTAAATACTACAGAACTTAGAGGATTTATAAGAAATTGAAAATATTGTCTTCCTGAATGTTCAGTATAGACCTAGAAATTATGAGAAAAAATGAATAATGGAATATCATTAAGCTCATTTTATGTGTTTTTTAACTAGAAAAATAAACCTATGCTGAATGTAGATGGAGTTAATCTTATTCTTTCCAATTAAAATTGCAGTATTTTTAGGTTAAGATCATTGAAATAAGAAGCAGACCAGCTGAGAAATTGAGAACTGATAAACAAATGGATAAAGTAGATATCTCTAACCTATATTCCCAGACTACCAAGATTTCAGTATATTAGTTGGATTTGGACTGGGTGGGGCTCTCCCATTTCCAATCTGGCCTTGTTTAACTGTTTTAGTATTCCAAAGTGACTTCTGTGAAACTTTCTTTTGTCCAAAATTTTCATATTGTCAGCATATCTCAGGATTTTCCTGTAGATCCTTAGGAATAGTTAGGCTTTGTTTTCAGGTTTAATATTCAACTTGAGGGGTCATTTCCTAAATTCTTTTATCCCAGAGGGATTAAAAACATCTTAAGTTGGGATATTACAGTGTGGCTTCTCTAATGGTGTACCTTTGGTGATAGACGAGTTGTATAACTACCACTGCATAACTGGGAAAGTATGCCGTATGTTTAATTCTCCATTTTTCCAGTGTAATTCTTAAAATTCTTATGTGTTTATTTTTTTAGTTCACAGAACTCCAGTTCTTTATTAATCACAGCTTGCTCACAATGATATACAGGAAAATAGCACTAATGAAGAGTATATATGCAGGCAGCAACCTTCAGGAGTTGGGAGATGGGAGTTGGGAGAGAAACGACTTCAAAACTATGATAGGTACTTATGATGGGTATCTGGTGATTCTCTTAGTTGACACAAATGCCCTGCCTATCCTACCCTTTGACTGAATCAGCTTCACAGATGGAGTGATTTTTAAATTTTTTTAATTTTTATTAATAGGCAGGATTGCCTCACACTGGGGAAGAAAGACCAGCTTGAGTGGAAGTCCTCAGTGTTTTTGATTTTGTTTGTGTTTGAATGCAACAACCAGCTCACAGTTTCCAAGTGGAAAAATATTCAATAGCATCATGTACTTGTACCTATAGGTAAAAGCTTAAAATGAACATTATTAATCATGGCATCCACAAATAAGCCACCTGACACATTAATTAATTCATTCCATCAAAAGAACTTAATCTAGAGAAGTCAGCCCACTTTATGAAGAGCGATTTTCCACATGCTAGGCAAGCCCTCCACTGCTTCTTTAAATATTACTCATGCTGTACTCATACTTGTGATCATCCTACCTCTGCCTACTGAGTAGATGGGGTTATAGGTGTGTAGCGCCATGCCTGACCCACACATACCATTTTAAGGTACCTCTTTCACATCCTGTACCTGAGCTGTATCCGAGTTGGGTTTTTGAAAATATTTTGTCTTTTGGTTGCATTCAGGGCTTCAATTCAGATGACCCCATAGCTCTAAAAACTTGTTCAGAAAAAGCTTGTTTACAAAATACTGTTCATTGCAAAAACCAGAAAACCAAACTTAAACAGCTTCAAAACAGTAGCAAAAGTAAATCTTGTTTTCAGTCAAGACTTGATCCAAGTGTGACCAAGATATAATTGCTCTCCACTTTCAAAGTCCTTATTTATCTAACTTGACTTCATTCTGAATTGGTGGTCCTAAGATGACTATCATGCTTTCATGTTCCTTTCCATTGGAAAAGAGCATATCTCCTCTTATAACCATGTAGGAAGTACAGGTGTGACAGAATAATCTTAGATAACATTCCCCTTCTTAAATCAGCCATCATGTCCTGTAGGACAAGGAAAGTATCGTACTTATCAGTTAAGTCACACAGCTGACCCTGAAAGCCAAGAATGGAAAGTTGACGTCTCTAGAAACATGCTGCAAGATACAGAAGTGAACTCACCAAGATATTAGTTTTTGATATTGGCTGCCCAAAATACCAACAACATGTAGATTGAAATAAAAAAAGGCTTTTCCTTTCTTCCACACTTCTCTCTCCCACAAGTATCTTAAATAGGAGAGCCAGAATTGTAGCTCAGTGGTAAAGAGCTTGCCTAGCATACACAAGGCCCTGGGTTCAATCCCTGACACAGGGAAAACAAACAAAAAAAGCTCAAGTCCTTAACAGTAAACTTTCTGCTGGAATTTCAGGTATTCTCAGTCAGGTCCTATTTCTGTCCACTTAAGCATGATAGAGGGTGCATCAAGATTGGTTCCTGATTGGTTCCTGGAAGGTCAGACAAGAAAAGCAATTATATTTACAGTGTAGCAACGGCTGCCAACTATGATTCAGACAACTTTAAAAAATGAGTGAAACAACCAGAAACATTTAGCATGTGAATGTGAGTCTGAAGTACTAAAGATGGCTGTGTGCCTGAAGTTATGACATACATGCAATAAAATTGGGAAGCCATCACCAACTTATCTACCAGCTTTTTGAAGTCCACAGTCCTTGAACAAAATGAGTCCAAATTCAAGGTGACAAAAAATGGTTGATAAAAGTGGGCATGGGAAGACTTGGACATCAAGGAAGGGACTAAACCTAGTTACCCATGTGTTGAGCTTGTGTGCATGATTCTCTCAACACACACAGAAACACATGTACTATAATTTAAAACGCCCACTCTGATACCATCATAGGGTAATGTTTTGCATTTTTCATTTACTATGTTAGTCACTTTTAAATGTTAATCTTATTTAAATGTCTCAACACTGCAAATGAATAGAACAAAGCTGAGAGAGGTTAAGTAACATTCTGAAAATCACATAGCCACTGAGTGGTGGGCCTAGGATTTAAAATCAGATTTGACCTAATTTTCAGTCCACTTTTCATTGTATCAGTGGTTCCTAAATCTAACTCTAAATTGGAATCACTGTTTGGAGTCTTTTTAAAAATCAGATTTTCCCAGGGCTGAGGGGTAGCTGTTGTAGGGCATATATTTAGCATTACTAGGTGTCGCGACCCCTTGCCTGCAAGGAAGACGCAACTCAGGAATCTTCTTTCAGCAGTTTATTCAGGCCCTTGATATTTGTTCTTCTCTCCCTCGGATGCCCCTCCCAGCCTTAATAAAGCATCTCAAGCCCCAATGTGAAGCTGCCACGTGGAGCTTTCTCATAGGGTGGTGAAAAACCACGCGCCAACTCTCCCAAATAAGGAGTTGTTTGTCACAGACCACAGCGGAGCCAGCGCCATCTTGTAATGGCGACCATAGTCTGCAGAAACGGCAGAAGCGGCTCACCACAGTTCCCCCTTTCTGTTTTCTTAAAACAATACAGGCGAGAGTAGAGGTCCTATCCCACTGTGCAGAAGTGGCTGCATAGTATGGCTCAGTCCTAAGGAGGGCCCTTCCCCAGATCTGAGGCCATATCAGCCGACGTCTTTTTTCGTGGGGCGGGGCGTGGACGCGTCTAACCCGCATGCAATAGGACATGCTCTCCTTGAGGTCCTCGTCAAGGATCACTCAAGTGCAGTGCCTTGCCTCGCATCCTGTATCGTGACAATGGTGGACGAAGGGGGATAGCTGAGGCTGAACTGTGGCTGTTTATAACGACAAACAAGTTGACAGCACCCTGAAAGAAAGGCACGGACTTTAAGGCGATAGAAAAGCACTAGTGTGGAAACCCATCTGCGTGCAATGGCAGTAAGACCGGCAGAGTGCAAGGGCTTTCCAACACTAAGAGAATAACAAGGAAAGTCATGTCGATCCCAGTGCAATGTTATAATAACTTGGGGTGTAACGACCATGTCAAAGGTTTACTGTTTAAGATGCGCAAGCCAGACTTGAGGTGAGTTGCCATTTTCTAAAGCTGCAAGAGCTTGTATGATCATAGCCTTATCGTGAGCACTGCGGGCCTTAAGGAGACAGAGAAACCACAAACAGAGGAACATACCGAAGCAACACATTGCACCAAAAATGCCTACCCCCACCCACTCTTTGAAGAAGGAAAAAGCAGAAGATATCCAATCGGTGAATTGACCCAAAGTCACGGGATTGACACGGGTACTGTTCAAGACAGCTATCTGAGTTAGTTGAGACTGGATCATGTCTTCCGCTGCCATGGACCAATTTCCGGCCAAATATTCGCCAATGATGCGGGAGGCATTCCTGGAATCATTAAATCTGACAGAGGTTATGCATAAATGTGCACGTTGGTCAACACAACCCAAAAGCACCAAGTCAGCCAATTCTTCTACCTGAGCTTGGAGTAAATCTATTCTTTGGTTGGCAGCTAAAATCCCTGACAAAATATGTTGATTAATTGTATTTTGGGATTCAAGTATGGTGGAAGTTTGTTGAACAACTTGATTAATGGTGGCAGCAGTTTGTACTTGACTGGCCATGGCCACTCCGGCCGTAACCGCTGCAGCAGCAGACACTGCCACAGCTGTCACTATAGCTGCCGTAATTCCAAAATCCCTGCGGACTCTAAGTAGCTCAACAATGGGGAATTTATCTGGGTCCGCAGTGACTGGGATTGGGACAAAAGTTGGAATTTTCATAACCACTGCTACAGTCCAAGAACCATTCCAACACTCAGATAAGAGACAGGTAACATTAGAACAATCCAGCATCCCCGACGAGGTGTCATTAGCCAAAAGGAGCAAGAACGGGGATTGGACACAGACCATTGCAGGGGGCAATGTGGCATTATATAGCAGAGAGTTGAACGAAACAGATGTAAGTCTATTACCTCGTTCATTCTCCCTAACAGTGCCAGAAACATTAGCCAGCCAGCTTTTGGCTCCCAGCAATTGAGCCAATGCAGAAATATCGGCTGAAGCCCCCTTCTCATTGGAAATCAGCCATTGAAACCAGGACCAACCTACTCCTGTAGAGGAGTTGGCACTGTTGTTAAAGTTATAAACATGCCTCTTAAGAGAGGGGGAAAGGGAGAAACCTTTAGCAACTTGATGTTTCTCCCAAGAATGATCCTGACAAGGCGTAAATGTTGGGGGGAAACCAAGATTAGGGGTACAGTAAGGGGAGGCCTTGAAATGAGTGGCATTGTAAGTACTATTAGAAGAAGGAGGCACTGGGATTAGTACCTTGGAGATAATAGCCAAGGTAGTTATGTTTAAAGCAGAGCTATTTGCGGGGGTCCCTGAGCCTGATTGCTTCCCCGAAACTACTTGGCTCAGTACGGCACTGATAATGCTCCCTGAGACCTGACTGGACCGCAATGGGTCCTCCCAGTTAGTCAAATTTTTGGTCTTAAGGCTGATGCAATTAGCGTTTCCAAGGCTGAAACAAAAAACTCCTGTGAGATTAACTTGAGATTGATTAAAAATGCTCTCCATGTCCCCTCTAGGAGAGGCACAGGGAGCAGACATCTCACATGAGGTAGAGAAAAGAGTAGGGAGGACACTAGAATTACCATGAACCGGCATCAGCATTGGCCAAGCCCGTGCCACTGCCCACCACTGCATTGGTGTCGTCTGTGCCATCGGCACCAGCACCAGAACCAGAGCACGTAGAAGAGTGAAGATCCTCATCACGGGATTGCTGTGGTATCTCTTGTTGCTGGTCAGTTGATGTCAAGACTCTTCTTGTCAGGCGTTCAGGGACCCACAACGGTTCCGTGCGATCCTGGGGAAAAACACATACAGATCCTCGCGCCCATGTCAGCACGGGGTCGGGGCCATTCCATTGGCCCGTAAGAACATCCTTCCACTTAACATAGCCAATCACAGAGGGCTGAGGGGACACATGTCTATCGGCCACAGAGCGACCATGAATATCCAAATTCAAAAAATTAATTGTAAAGAGAGCTAAGGACAGGCGTTCTTTAGGAGTGTGTTCAGCTCCTATTCCCCCTTTTTGTTTTTGTAAAGTTTCCTTTAAGGTGCGATGAGCACGCTCAACAATGCCTTGTCCTTGAGGATTGTAAGGCAGACCATGAGTAAGTTGCACTCCCATGGTAGAACAAAAGGATGTAAATTGTCTGCCAGTAAAAGCAGGTCCATTATCAGTCTTAAGGGATGCAGGAGCACCCCATGCTGCCCATGCTTCTAGGCAATGAGTAATAACATTACGTGCCTTTTCTCCCGATAAAGCAGAAGCATGAATAACTCCAGAGCACGTATCAACAGAAACATGCACATACTTGAGGTTACCAAAGTCAGGTATGTGTGTCACATCCATTTGCCAGACAACCAATGGCTTCAATCCCCGTTAGTTCACTCCATAATTAGGGGGATGAAGAAATGTGACACAATGGGGACATTGTAATACTATCTGATGAGCATCCGCTCTTGAAATGGAAAAACGCCTGCGCAGCGTTAAAGCATTAACATGGAAATTCTGGTGAAATAATTTAGCCCCCTCTAAGGAGGAAGCCAAGCATATCAACTGACCTCTAGTGGCTGAGTCCTCACAGGCATTACCCTGTGATAACGGACCAGGAAGAGAGGTGTGAGCCCGGATGTGCATTGGATAAAAAGGAGCAGTGCGGCTACAGATAAGCTGTTGAAGCTGATTAAAGTAAGCAGATACATTATGGGCATTACTAATAGCTCCCACGGCCTCCAGGACTTTTAGTGCTTGTACCACATAGATGGAGTCCGAAATAAGATTAAAAGGAAAAGAACACTGTTTAAAAACCTCAATAACAATTTGCAGTTCCACCCATTGTGGATTTCCAGGAGCAAATTGATGCTGAACAGGGGGAGAATCATTAATTACATAAGCTCCCATTCCAGACTTGGAACCATCAGTAAAAATATTAACAGCCCCCGGAATTGGATTGGGTGAAGTTACCTTAGGGAAAATGATGGGATGTTCTTTAACAAAATGGAGTAATGGATGGGAAGGGTAATGATTATCAATATCCCCTTGAAACGAGCAACATAGAATAGCCCAGTTGTCTAGAGTAGCACACAAAACATTAAGTTGAGCTTTAGTATAGGGTATAATAAGAGAAGAAGGTGATTGTCCGAAAAATTGAATGCTTTGTTGAATCCCTTTAAGTGCTAACGCTGCAACAGCATCAGGATAGTATTCTAAGGATTTTCCTGGGGATACATGTGGGTGGATCCATAGTAAAGACCCATCTTGCCACAGTACTCCAGTAGGCTGCCGCATAGTGGCAAGCACACATAACTGGAAAGGTTTATCACTCTGGAGCCTGCATAGAGTAGCATGTTGTATAGCTTCTTCTACTGTTATAAGGGCCGCTCTAGCCTCTTTGGTGAGGCTACGAGGAGAAGCAAGATCTGGATCACCCTTAAGGGTAGCATACAAAGGCTGGAGCACACCATTAGGAATATGTAAATATCCCCTTATCCAATTAATATCTCCCAGCAGTTTTTGAAAATCATTTAGAGTTTGGAGATCCTGAGTTCTTATGGTGATTTTTTGTGGTTTTAATTTGTCATACCCAATTATCGCTCCCAAATACTCAATAGAATTCCCCGTTTGAACATTTTCAGGTGCGATATGTAGCCCATATTGAGCTAACAGCTTTACTAATTCTTTATAGGCCTCATTAACTGTCTGCTCTAACTTAGCGGCCAATAACACATCATCCATATAATGAATGATCTTGATGGAGGAATACTTATGTCTGAGAGGTGCGAGTGCCTTCCCCACATACATCTGGCACATCATGGGACTATTAGCCATTCCCTGCGGCAACACTACCCACTCAAACCTTTGATCTGGTTCCTCGTGGTTACACGAGGGAAGGGTGAAGGCAAAACGCTGTGAGTCTTTAGAATGCAAAGGAATAGAAAAGAAACAGTCTTTAATGTCAATAGCAATAATATGCCAGCCCTGAGGAACAGAGGAGAGCAGAGGCAGCCCTCTTTGAATGGGCCCCATAAGTTGCATTTGAGCATTAACTGCTCGTAGATCATGCAGTAGGCGCCACTTTCCTGATTTTTTCTTAATAACAAATATGGGAGTATTCCATGGAGAAGTAGAAGGTTGGATGTGACCCAAGTCAAGTTGTTCTTTGACTAGATCATGGGCTGCTGCCAATTTAACCGAGGGAAGAGGCCACTGAGGCACCCAAACAGGCTCCTCGGTGAGCCATGTTATGGGTATTTGAGCCCCAGTGGCCCCTAGGAAAAACCCAGACCAAATCTGTTAAGCTTTTGATGACCTTGCACAGGATGCCTACGCCCCTGTAGGTGTTTTCCTAGTCCTAGACCTGGCCTATACCCCATATTTTGCATAATTTGTTGAGACACTGGGGAATAGTCATTACTAAGAGTGAACCCCATGTCTTTCATCAGATCACGGCCCCATAAAGAGATAGGTAAATCAAGTACATACGGCTGAAAGGTGCCATTGTGTCCTTCCGGGTCCTTCCAAGATAGATGTCTACAGCTGATTTGAGGGGCTTGGGCATATCCAAGTCCTCTCAGGGATTGATCAGAAGTCTGCACTGGCCATCCCTTAGACCAGTCCTTAAGGGCTATGATACTATGGTCTGCTCCTGTATCCAGCAATCCCACAATAGATTTACCTTCTATGCTTAATTCCAAAGTGGGGCGATTGCTCATATCTAGTGACAAATAGGCACAATTCCCTCCCGTGGTACCAATCTCACTTCCCGTCCGTGACCTTGAGTCAGCAGGGAAGTGATTATGTAAGCTAGGCAAAATTAGTAATTGAGCAATCCGATCCCCTGGGGAGATAGACACAATGCCCCTTAGAGCCTCCACCATAACCTTTACTGCCCCTACAGTATCAGGGCTAATGACTCCGGGAAAGACATGAAGACCTTGTAAGATAGAGGATGCACGTCCAATTAGCAAACCTACAGTGCCAGGTGGTAAAGGCCCTTTGAACTTAGTTTCCACCAGTTGGACTCCCATCTTAGGTGTTAATACGAGTCTGGAGGTGGAACAGAGGTCCAATCCCGCGGCACCTGTAGTGGCTCTCCGCGTCTCATGGGATGGCGCAGAGATGGCCATGTCTCGGGTTCGGGTGTGACATTCTCCACTGCCCCATATATTTGTGGGCCCTGGGGTCGGGGGCCCCTTCGGCCGTTTTTTGGCCCAGCTGAAATAGGCTGTCCATGGATGTCCCTCACTGATCTACACTCTTTTGCCCAATGCTTCCCCTTTTTACATTTTGGACACAGCCCCGGTTGACGAAGGCCATTGGAAGGGCCACCGTGAGGAGGTCCAGTAAAATTGTCTTTTTTGGGACATTCACGTCTGAAATGACCGGGTTGACCACAATGGAAGCTTGTTCCAGCACCAGGACTGCCCCCTTTTGCAATCCGAAGGACAGCAGCTGCAAGACCTGCGTTAGTTAAAGGTCCTCCAATCTCTCTACACACTTTCATCCATGCTTCTATGCCCTTATTTTTATAAGGAGTGATTGCCGCTTTACATTCCTTGGTGCATTGCTCAAAGACCAATTGCTTGATAAGGGGCATGGCTCTATCAGGATCCCCAAAAATCTTTCCAGCGGCATCCACCATCCTTGCTACAAAATCTGAAAAGGGTTCTGTAGGGCCTTGTAGAATCTTGGTCAAATTACCAGACACCTCTCCTCTATTTGGAAGCGACTTCCATGCCCGAATGCAAATGTTGTTAATTTGATCATATGCCTCAAGAGGAAATCCTGTCTGTTGATTTGCAAATCTACCCTGCCCCAAAAGCATATCCTTGTCCCAATGGGGGTGTCCCGCCGCATGGTTTTGGGCGGCCTGCTCTATTGCGCCCTCTAGCATAAATGCTCTCCAGTCCAAATATTTACCCGGGGAAACACAAGCCCGAACAAGGCTAGCCCAATCAGAGGGAGTCATGCAGTATCTAGACAGACTCTCCACCTGAGTTAGTGTGAAGGCGGCATCCACCCCATAAGTGCGCACAGACTCCGCCAGGGTCTTCACAATTTTAAAATCTAAGGGTTCATGGAATCTTCCCCTATTGTCATCCTGAAAAACTGGATAAGCAAGACCCATCTCAGCGTTAACAGCCCTCCATGTTTGGGCATGGAAAGCTCTCCCCGAAACACCCCCACCATACGGCGGTGGATCCGGGGGATCGCTTTTCTTGAGCCCCTGTTTATTTCTGTTCCCTTCTCCTATAGCTAAACTCTCTAGCTGACGAGACAGCCTCCCGAGCTCTTCCTCCTCATCCTCCTCTTCCTCTGACCCACTTTCACATGGGGGTGTGCGCAGCGTACTGAGATCTGGATACAATCGTCTCCTCCCCTGTTTCACGCTCCGCACACTCCCATCCTTCTGAGATACCTCACTTCTTGCCGGAGACAATCGTCTCCTCCCCTGTTTCACGCTCCGCACACTCCCATCCTCCTGAGGCACCTCACTTCCTGCCGTCTCCGTTTTCTCCTCATGTAATTGCTCTAGAACTTCCTGTCCTTTAGTAAGTGCTTCCTGACATCTGCCATCTGTAAGGCAACTATGGACCATTTTCCAAAGGGGTATCACCCCACCCTCTAATATCCCCTGCTCAGAAGCAAAGTCAAGATCTTTGCCTAATTTATCCCAACTAGGTACAGTAAGGCTGCCCGAAAATGCAAACCACGGTGCAGCGATATCTATCTTCTGTAAAAATCTCTGTAAAGTACTATGTTTCACTTCTAGGCCCTTGGAACGTAACAGGCCATCTAGAGCCAGGAGAAGCGGACTTGAAGATGCGGCACCCATGACACAACAACAAAAGAAGCACAAAAAACAAAAGCGAAATGACACAACAAAAGAAACACAGAAAACAAAAGCGAAAGTACACAGTGCAGCTGCAATAAAATGTAATGCTCTCTCTTTCTTTACAGAGGAGCTGCCCCGCTTTGGTCGCGGATCCCACTTACCTGGGACTAACCCCGCTTTGATTGCGGATCCCACTTATTGGGACTAACCCCGCTTTGGTCGCGGATCCCACTTACCTGGGACTAACCGGTGCACCACCCCTGACTGCTGAAAGTTCTGGTTCCCGGGTTTCGGCACCACTTGTCGTGACCCCTTGCCCGCAAGGAAGACGCAACTCAGGAATCTTCTTTCAGCAGTTTATTCAGGCCCTTGATATTTCTTCTTCTCTCCCTCGGATGCCCCTCCCAGCCTTAATAAAGCATCTCAAGCCCCAATGCGAAGCTGCCACGTGGAGCTTTCTCATAGGGTGGTGAAAAACCACGCGCCAACTCTCCCAAATAAGGAGTTGTTTGTCACAGACCACAGCGGAGCCAGCGCCATCTTGTAATGGCGACCATAGTCTGCAGAAACGGCAGAAGTGGCTCACCACAACTAGGCCCTTGGTTCTATCCCCAGTACCAGCATCCAAAATAAAATTTCCAGGTCCTACCACAGACCTAAATCAGAACCTCAGGGTAGGTCCTAGGGGTGTGGGGATGGGAAGGATGGTGGAATGAGAGACATTACTACCCTCTGTACATGTATGATTGTCGCGACCCCTTGCCCGCAAGGAAGACGCAACTCGGGAATCTTCTTTCAACAGTTTATTTAGGCCCTGGATATTTCTTCTTCTCTCTCCCGGATGCCCCTCCCAGCCTTAATAAAGCATCCCAAGCCCCAATGCAAAGCTGCCGCGTGGAGCTTTCTCACAGGGTGGTGTACAGGGTGGTGAAAAATCATGTGCCAACTCTCCCAGATAAGGAGTTGTTTGTCACAGACCACAGCGGAGCCAGCGTCATCTTGCAATGGCGACCATAATCTGCAGAAACGGCAAAAGCGGCTCACCACAGTTCCCCCTTTTCTGTTTTCTTAAAACAATATAGGCGAGAGTAGAGGTCCTATCCCACTGTGCAGAAGTGGCTGCATAGTATGACTCAGTCCTAAGGAGGCGCCTTCCCCAGATCTGAAGCCATATCAGCCGACGCCTTTTTTCGTGGGGCGGGGCGTGAACGCGTCTAACCCGCATGCAATAGGACATGCTCTCCTTGAGGTCCACGTCAAGGATCACTCAAGTGCAGTGCCTTGCCTTGCATCCTGCATCGTGATGATGGTGGACGAAGGGGGGTAGCTGAGGCTGAACTGTGGCTGTTTATAATGACAAACAAGTTGACAGCACCCTGAAAGAAAGGCACGAACTTCAAGGCGATAGAAAAGTACTAGTGTGGAAACCCATCTGCGTGCAATGGCAGTAAGACCGGCAGAGTGCAAGGGCTTTCCAACACTAAGAGAATAACAAGGAAAGTCATGTCGATCCCAGTGCAATGTTATAATAACTTGGGGTGTAACGACCATGACAAAGGTTTACTGCTTAAGATGCGCAAGCCAGACTTGAGGCGAGTTGCCATTTTCTAAAGCTACAAGAGCTTGTATGATCATAGCCTTTTCTTGTGCATGGCGAGTTTTAAGGCGACAGAGAAGCCACAAACAAAGTACAACACCGAAGCAACACATTGCACCAAAAATGCCTACTCCCACCCACTCTTTGAAGAAGGAAAAAGCAGAAGATATCCAATCGGTGAATTGACCCAAAGTCACAGGATCGACACAGGTACTGTTCAAAACAGCAATCTGAGTTAGTTGAGACTGGATCAAGTTTTCTGCTGCCATGGACCAGGTTCCGGATAGATACTCTCCAATGATGCGGGAGGCATTTCTGGAATCATAAAATCTGACAGAGGTTATACATAAATGTGCACGTTGATCAACACAACCCAAATGTACTAGGTCAGACAATTCCTCAACTTGAGCTTGAAGCAGATCTATCCTTTGATTAGCAGCCAGAATCCCAGATAAAATGTGTTGATTAATTCTACTTTGAGATTCAAGTATGGTGGATGTTTGTTGAATAACCTGATTAATAGTGGCAGCAGTTTGTACCTGGCTGGCCATGGCTACTCCAGCTGTAACTGCTGCAGCAGCAGATATCGCCACAGCTGTCACTATGGCTGCCGTAATTCCAAAATCTCTCCTGGCTCTAATCAGTTCAACAATAGGAAATGACTCTGGATCTGCAGTAACCGGGATCGGGACAAAGGTTGGAAATTTCATAACCATTGCTACAGTCCAAGAACCATTCCAACACTCAGATAAGAGACAGGTAACACTAGAACAATCCAGCATCCCCAACGAGGTGTCATTAGCCAAAAGAAACAGGAACGGAGATTGGAGACAGACTGCTGCGGAGGGTAATGTAGCATTAGATAATTGTGAATTATTTGCAGAAATTTTAAGCCTCCTACCTCGCTCCGAGTCTTGGGTACTGCCAGAAACATTAAACAGCCAACTTTGGACTCCTAATATTTCCCTGGGGAAACACAAGCGCGGACTAGACTAGCCCAATCTGAGGGAGTCATGCAAAATCTAGTAAGTCCCTCCACCTGAGTGAGAGTGAAAGCGGCATCTATGCCATAAGTGCGGACAGATTCTGCCAAGGTTTTAATTATCTTAAAGTCTAAAGGCTCATGATATCTTCCCCTGTTATTGTCCTGAAATACAGGGTATGCAAGTCCCATATCTGTATTAACTGTCCTCCAAACTTGTGCATGAAAAGATCTCCCGGAACCTTGGCTCCCCCCCACATACGGAGGTGGGGCAATCGGCACCATATCTTCTTCTAGATATTCTACCTCCTCCTCCTCAGAGTTTTGTTGACCGATGTTAACTCCCTTCCCCTTCTTACAGTAGGCCTGCGTGCCCTGTGTCTCCTTTTTCTTCTTTTTCATTTTTACCTTATGTAGTTGTTGTAACAATATATCAAGGTCCTCAGAACTTTCTGAGTCGCTTGTGTTCTCAGGCGTTTTTAATTCGGTCAAGTCTGGGTAGAGCCTTCTCCTATTTTTATCTTCAGGCTCTTTTGCCTTCTCACTACTGTTACTTTTAATACTCTCTGCCACTTCACTACATGATCCTTCAGATTTTTCCTCATGCAGTTGCTCAAGAATAGCTTGACCCTCACTCACAGCTTCCTGGCATTTACCATCTGTTATACATCCTCTAACTAACTTCCAAAGTGGTATAATGCCACCCTGCAAGGTACCTTGCTCATGAGCGAAATCTAGATCTTTCCCTAATTTGTCCCAGCTGGGAACCGTAAGACTCCCTGAAAAAGCAAACCAAGGAGCCGCTATATCAGCTTCTCTTAAAAACATCTGCAAAGTACTCTGCTTTATCTTAAGTCCTTTTGAATGTAACAACCCATCTAGGGCCAACAAAATTGGGCTTGAAGAAGCAACGCCCATAATGTTTTTAGAGCTATAAAGAAAGTGAAAGTACAAAAGTCCCCGCTCTCTTCCTTTTACAGGGAAGCGTCCCTGTCGTCACAACAACAAAAGAAGCACAAAAAACAAAAGCGAAATGACACAACAAAAGAAACACAGAAAACAAAAGCGAAAGTAGAAGCGAAAGTACACAGTGCAGCTGCAATAAAATGTAAGGCTCTCTCTGTGTTTACAGAGGAGCTGCCCCGCTTTGGTCGCGGATCCCACTTACTAGGGACTAACCCCGCTTTGATAGCGGATCCCACTTATTGGGACTAACCCCGCTTTAGTCGCGGATCCCACTTACCTGGGACTAACCGGTGCACCACCCCTGACTGCTGAAAGTTCTGGTTCCCGGGTCTCGGCACCACTTGTCGCGACCCCTTGCCCGCAAGGAAGACGCAACTCGGGAATCTTCTTTCAACAGTTTATTTAGGCCCTGGATATTTCTTCTTCTCTCTCCCGGATGCCCCTCCCAGCCTTAATAAAGCATCCCAAGCCCCAATGCAAAGCTGCCGCGTGGAGCTTTCTCACAGGGTGGTGTACAGGGTGGTGAAAAATCATGTGCCAACTCTCCCAGATAAGGAGTTGTTTGTCACAGACCACAGCGGAGCCAGCGTCATCTTGCAATGGCGACCATAATCTGCAGAAACGGCAGAAGCGGCTCACCACATATGATTGCATGAACAGTGTGACTCTGCATGTGTGAAGCCAGAGAAATAAGAAGTTGTGCTCCATTTGTGTACAATGAGTTGAAATACATTCTGCTGTCATGTATAACTAATTAAAACAAATTAAAAATTAAAAAGGGAAAGAGAATCAAATAAGATAAAACAGCAATGAAGAGTCAGAGGCTTGAAGATCTTACCTCAGAGTAAGGCCTGACTTACAGCTCTGGAGCCACATAATGAAATAGAATGAGCTAACCCAGGATTACCTTCCCAAAATTCTACTTCATCAATTCTTTGAGAAATCTTCTTTTTATTTTTTTTTAATTTATCAGAGTTTCCAGGGGCAGTGGTACATACCCATAATCCCAGCAGCTTGGGAGGCTGAGGCAGGAGGATGACAAGTTTGAAGCCAGCCTCAGGAACTTAGTGAGGCCCTAAGCAATTTAGTGAGACCCTGTCTCAAAAAGTAAAAAGGGCTGGGGATATAACTCAGTGTTAAAGTGCTCCTGGGTTTGATCCCCAGTACAAAAAAAAAAAAAAGCATTTATAAAAAAATAAAATTACCAGGGGCTGGAGTTGTAGCTCAGTAGTAGTGCACTTGCCTAGCATGTGTGAGGCACTGGGTTCGATTCTCAGCACCGCATATAAAGGTCCATTGACAACTAAAAAAAAAAAAAAATTACCAGTTTCCCACTGAAAGATCAGTAATTCCCTCATAACGTGTGCACCCACACTAAGCACCGTAGCCTTTTACATTACAAAATTGCATTTTTCAGAGTCAACTCTCCCTTTCTCACACAACACCTTTTTCTGTGGCCTTATGACTACACAGCTGCTTTTTTACTACCTTAAAGTACATAGTAATTCCAATGCATTCTACATAATTCAGAAGACTCTGATCAGGCTGGATTCAGACAGTGAATCAGAAGGTGATATGCTTCATCAATTACCTAGTTTTTAGAAATCTGCAGATGAGCTATGCTCATAGACAAAACAAATCTTTGGGAAACATGGTCTGTAGCAATTCTCAAACTTTAGTGTTCTTGCAAATCATGCGACAGTCTTGTTAAAAGACAGATTCTGAGTCAGTAGGTATCACAGAAGCCTGAGGTTCTGTACTTTAAACAAGCTGATGATGATGATGATGATGTTCTTTTGACTACATTTGAATAGTGAAGAGTGTACAACATTGCTCCTCAAACTGCACACTGGAATCACTTGAGAAGCTAAAAAACAAAAAGTGAAACATTCATGTCTGGGTTCCCTACCCCCAGGAATGACTTAATAGGCATAGGGTGTGATCCAAGCATCATGATTTTTAACTTTCTGAGGTGACACTCTTGTGCAGCAAAGTCTGAGATACTAGGATCTACAATGGGAGAAGCAAACATAATAAAAGTCACTGAGCTAACAGGCTTACAGATACTCCTTGATCTCTTGAGTATTTGTTTGGTAATTCAATCCTTCATGGCACTGGGTATGCAATAGGTCTACTTAAAGTTTTCTGAGTTGCAT